TCAATAAGCTATCAGTTTTGTTTTGTTTGTTTCTTTTTCTTACAGCTTCTATTCAAATGACCCCCACTTGGTGTTTACGTTTGTAAACACAACCTGTGGTCCTGACTTAGTCAAAATACACATAACGTACACAAGCAAGGCTGATGTGCATGAGGTCTTGTTCAACACAGTGAAATTAATACAAGGGAAGAAACGTGCATCACGCGGAGGCCGTCTTTTGAGGCTCAAGTCAAAGCATCGCACCCCGCCCGCGAGGCAGCAAGGCTACTTAAACGAGGCTTTTGGACTGCAAAAAGGACAGACACCGATGCACTGACTTCACACCTCAGTTCGAGTTCCTTCAAGTTGCATGAATTAGGGGAGACACCCCACTGGTGTCAATATTCCGTCTCCAAATCCATCGTCTTCACATGACACGGCGTCTTATCCTATATAGTCTCGCTGAATATAACGGATTATAATAAAGCAAGGACGCGACGACAATTCTGCTATTACAGGCAGAAAGAAAAACCGCGTGAAATCAGCGATCCCACCGGAATAATTAAATAATGAGACGGTTGGTAGACATTTTACACGCTTTTGTGAGTTCGCACAGAAGTCGGAAGAGGCGAGAACGCACGGATATACAACGTTGTTTATTTGGCTGTCTGAAACAGATCGATGGGTCTTTCACCAGCCGTGTTGGGTCGGTGTTTCATTAAACGACGGGGTGCGTAAGTTGTGTGTTCAGTTTAATGCAGCCCAATTCTGCCACGACTAACCAGCTGGATTATCTACTCGTGTGTCAACTCATTACACGTATTTTAAATATGTTCGTTGATCCTTTTTGCCACAAAGACACTACAGACAGTTTAAGGAATCCATACTCCATTTGTTGAACTCAGATCATTTTTGTAGATTTCAACTTTGGAAAAAGATGATCCTGTATTGACCTCCTGCAAAATTGAATGCCGCCGCCCCTCCCCAAAGAAATAGATTCAGTTTAAACCATTATTACATGTAGTATTAACATTGTCCAAATACTGACTATTTTTCTAAATTGACCAAATCCAGCAGACCAGTTCGAATACCAACTTGCACTTTCGTCTCTCTGTCGACTCCCGCGCGACATCCAGGTATCAACCGGGCCCCATAATGGTACAATTAGCTTTCAGCCTTCCACATCGTAGCTGTAACTAAGATCCCGGTGATATTCTGAAAATGACATCGAAGCTCTTTTGTCCCTTTACACATTTTGGGAGGCATCCAGACGATATCATCGGCATCTTCTCCAATAGAGTGCGGTCGTTGACTCCTAGGGAGTTGGAATGACAGCCTGAGGCCACGTATTCCTAAGGAAAAAAAGCCTGCATCGGCTTATTTCAAGTTCTCTGTCTCGTGCGGGATCTTTTGAAATTCAAAATTACCCATCGAGAACTCGCACACCCTTATTCATTCAACCCTTGTAAAAAGAACATCTAAAGTTGTACCAAGGCTATCATTTTCATTGATTGTATTTCATAACTGGTATTGAAAAATAACTTTCCTTTATCTTGCAGGATGCACTTCCAACCATTTGTAATGTACGCTGAGTTGTTGTCCACAAAACCTGGAAAATTGTATCTAATAACGAGGCATAACATCGGTTAAGATGTCACTTCGTTTATGACGAAAAGTCATTGTGTTCAGTCGCTTTGATGCACAGTAGTTTTATGAAGGGTCGGGTCGTTTCTGTATCCGAAGTTTTTAAGCGGTTGAAGTCAATCGACTTGCCGACATTCCTTGTCGTCTGAACTGCAAGAAATAGTGCCGATTTCTTGGGAAAACAAACTAAAGATTTACCTTACCTTTGCTGGAAATAAGTGCACAGTGTTAAAAAAGTTTAGGTGGAGGGTAAAGTGATGAACATCTCTCTAAATGCTATGGCACGCACGACAATAACTCTCATAGCATAGATATGCATTCGTTGGAAATATTTTTGCAGAGTGCTGGGGCACATCTTCGACCCTATACAGGCAGCAGCTGAAGTACGGGATACCTTGGTCAGATGGAAATAAGGTTTGCATGTGTGACGTGCCTCACAGCTGCAATCATGGTGCGTTATTGCGGCCACCAAATGAAATTAAGGACCTAGCCCCGGATTCTCTGTATTTACCCGCCGGGAGCTCTCGGGTGCAAAGGTGCACAAGGGCCTGAAAGGCAACCGGGATAGAATACTACCGCAAAAACAAGTTATGTATTGATAAGCGTATAAGGCATTTATGAGGCAAAATATTTAGCAAGTTTCTGGAGGTGGAGCGGGTAATTAGTAATTGGGGTATTCCAGTTTTTAAAGGGGCAGTCCGGCCTCCGGACTATGACAAATTTTACTGCCTATACCTGAAGAGATCTACCGCATCAATTTCTGAATTAAACAAGCTTCTCGTCGATATTGTATTTCGAATGTCATTTACTCCCCGCCCCATCTATGCGTAATGCAAGCAATAACTTCTGTAAACAGTATTTTTCAATGGGCAGACTATGAGCGGGCTTTGCAAAGGGCTTGCAGCGTTCAACGTTTGTTGTAAATTTCTAACAAGATTGTGAGTGTCAAAAGTACCCTAATTTTCACCTTTCGTGTTTTTCCCCCAAACAATCCACATTTTCATGAATTAAGAACCAAGGCTGAGATCTGTTTGATTTTTTTTTTTGCCTTTGCAAGTATTTACCAAACTGTAACGACTGCGCTTGCGCAACAAGCACTCCTTGTGTCTCCGGGTTCGTTCGGGCGTATTGTTTTTGTTAACACAACTATACTCCTGTGGGCGCGAACAAGATTGCGACCCGCTAGTATAAGCGAAAGTGTGCTCTCGATCCGGTTGGTCTATACAGGGAGCTATAAAACACAAGGAGTAAGCACAGCCCAAGATCAAAGGGGGCAATGATGGCCACCGCCTGCACTTTTACGACCGCAAGGGAAGTTAAAATAAACACTGGTGGCTCGTGGTGCGAATCAAATTATGCGCCGCTCGCGAATTTCGAGGAATGCTGGGAGTCGCATTTGCAAAGGATTATGGGTACTGCACATGCGTGTCCGTAAAGTTTGACGTGTTCAACATGGCCGCTATCGGGACGGAAGACGATGTCATCGGAGACTTCGATTTATAGCTCCATGGTCTGTCCATGAAGCTATAAAACACAAGGAGTCAGCACAGCCCAAGATCAAAGGGGCATGGTCTGTACTCCGTTATATCACGGTGGCTATTTCAAGATGACAGAAAAAGGTTTCCAAGGGTAATGCGCACGCAACATTTTCTACTGGGGAGTCAGGTTGGTGTAGTGGCTCTTTCCTCACCTTTGCGACTGCGACCCAGGTTCGAATCCCACCTAGGCCAGCAAGTGGATTGAATTTTCAGTCCCTGCCTGATTCCGTGGGGTTTTCCCTGAATATTTATGTGGAGTTTTCCTCCCACCTCTAAAACTGAACATTTTTCTTCGTTTTCTGCTTAATTATCACTTCGTGTAATTGGCGCTATATGCGCTGTTGAGTGAACAGATATGAAAATAGATAAATAAATGTACTGAGAGAAGCACACGCAGTCTTATATGTAAGTTACCAAGCTATTAAGTAACATTCTGAGCTGCCAATCTAGCCTCTCTGTGAAGATACAAGAAATGTGTTGCATGTCTTTGTTCATCCTAAGCTTAGCAATCAATGTGTAAACGACAATGTTTAAGTTGATAATCCAACAACATACAGAACGCATCTCTAATTATTTTGTATGGTAAGTGCCCACATTGACGCCACAATATCGTTTTCTGGTTTCAGAAGTATAGCAAGGCTATTGTAGATAATTTATAGGTAACTGCCGGGGAAAGTCGAAGGAACGTTGTGTTTGTTCTACACAAACCTGAGAGCCTGGAAATCTACAGACACATTCACTTTGTTATTCATTCACATACCTCTTAAAATATCTGGAACAGATGCCAAAATTCATTTTGGTCATGGGCGCTTCCCCGCGATTTTGCACCGAAATTAACTGAAGTCCTCATTGCATGACAAATTGTTAACATGGAATATAATAATTCAAGAGCACGAGATACGTTAGTTAACACAGGTGAAAGATCCCACGGAGGCGTATTAGTCATGTGTGATCGTGCGACGAGTGATTCACAAAATGCCTTGAATGCTTAGCTGATAATGCCTTGTGACTAGGTGATGTTCAACTATCTTAATGTACATGTAACACAATGTTGCATTGGTCTCCAAACCAACTATTTTGTCTGCTTCTTATATTTTATTAATAAGTGACTGATTTATTATCTGAAAAAAAGTGGATACGGCAACTTAAGCACCGCTTGCGGTTAAGCATAATTTTGTTAATACCTATATGCCATGTAATTCAGTACAATCACTTTAAGTCAGGCTGGTAGAATCTGGATGACAAAGCGAAATTTAATGAAATTAAATCGCTGGGCAAACGTGCAGACATCCACACGGGAGCGATTTCCTATTCACAGTCCAGTTTCAGTTGGTAATCCTAAATGATGCCAGGAGGCCTTTCATTATTTCCAACTCTGATCTGATCGCTTCCTTAGCTCTTTCGCATTATACGTAGCAAGTGCAAGTGCAACTGTTCTCTTGATAAATGACAGCGGGGAAAAAACGCGCGAAATATTTCAGCGGTCATTTGGTCATCCACAGAAGCAGACGGTTAACATTCAAAGCAACCAGTGAGAAATTGCTGGCATTGCCCTCATTGAAACACAGCCTCCAAGCCCGGACAATAGACCCGCCTATCTCGTGAGTGATATTCAATGCCAGCCTTTGCTATGAGCTAGCTGCCGCTACATCTCTCCTTCACCGTCTCTCTTTTCGGCAAGACGGGGTTATTTTTAGCTCCTAATAATGTCACTCATTATAGATGCACGCGGGTTGAGGTCGGCGCGCGCAGGTCTCCGCCACTGCACACTATGCACCTAGGCACGCATTATCGAGGCACTTCCTCCAGAGTAGCATTTTTTTTCGTCCGTGCTAACTCCGTACCGCGTCGCACCGTGAGTGATCTGAGCGTGCCTCGAGTTGTCAGTTTGAATCCCGCCCACTCCCCGGCGAGCCAGCCAACCAGACATCACTGCAGCGAGCTGACTGCAAGTCGGCTGTAGCGACGGTCGCAGCGTCTTCCTGTAGTAAATGGAACCTGGGAGATACAATATATATCTACAAATACCTCAACTGCACCTGCAGACTCGTATTCCCGAGATGTGAGCGCGTCCCCACAGTCCTCCGGATGAGGCTTAAATAGAGATGAACTCGACGGGAACATTTAACCACTAAGGACCATGGGACTGCCTGTCCGTTTATGCTGTGAGTCCACTCTTCGCCTGAGTTTGTTCTCAAGAGTACGCAGGACTGTGTGAGGGATTGATACACACACACAATGGCAGGAGAGATCATCGCCAATGACTCCGTTCCGTCAAATTTTGAATTAGCCATTGGAGCGTCGGTAAACGCTGACGGCTACAACTTGAGTCTCGCGACAGCGGTGTCCTTGTCGTGTGGCAGTGGCCTGTCGGGCAACGGTGTCAGTATCCTGCAGATTGACCCGGACACGGACGGGTATACACCTGTCGTCATCTCGCTGTCGTTCCTGGTGGCCCTACTGAGTTTCGGCACGGTGCTGAGCAACGCACTGATCATCCATGTCATACGGGCCGATCGCACGCTGCACACGGTCAGCAACTGCTTTGCCATGAGCTTGGCCACGGCCGATCTTCTCGTCGGCCTGCTGGTGGTGCCGTTCTACGCGCTGGACGTCCACGTGTCTGACCGCTGGCACGAACACATTCCAGCACATAGTGTATGGGTGACACTGGACTTCCTTTTGACTTCGTCGAGCATTCTCAACCTGGTCTTGCTGAACCTGGATCGCTTCTGGTCCATCACCTCACCCATGAAGTACATGCGACAGCGGACTAAGAGACGGGCTCTACTCCTCATCGCCCTGGTCTGGGGTTTGGCCATCGTCCTGACCATGGTCCCCGTCGCTATCTGGCCTTACGCCTTCAAAGACGTCTTGGTGCCCACCAAGACTCGCTTCGTCTGTTTCGGCTCGAGTGGCTGGCTAATGGCAGCCAGTGCCGTCTGCATATACTTCATTCCGCTCACCCTCCTATGTGCAATTTATTCGCGGATATTTAGGGCCATACACCGGCGACACAAAATGGACCTGGGCCGGTCCAGCATCGCCAGCAACATGTCGAACCGGTTCGGTGGCTCCAAACGCGGCAGCGACATGAACCAGCACGGCTTCATCAGCGAGCAGGAGTTACAACGACTGAGGAACATCTACGAGAAGGCGATATGCCGGGAACGAGGCGAGAGACACTTGACCGCCATGGTGAGGAAGAAGAAAGGGTACTCCCCCGGTACTCACCTGAAACGGTACGAGAGCATCGACGAAGAGAAGGAAGGAGTCAACGAGTCGTGTGAAAACGATCCTTTCAGTTCAGAGACTGGAGACAGCCAAGGCACGTTTAACAGTCGGCCCCACCACCAAACCAAGGTAGGAGTGACCAACATGGTCAACACACTTCATGTCGCCCGGTCCGCCGACGATATCTTCCACGGTAGGATCACCAAGAGCCCTGCTAGCCCCTTCGAAGGCCTGGGCGTGCTGCCAAAGATTAAGGTGCCGCGTATTCTGGCCGGGATCGAGGCAAGCATGGACGTCATCCGCGAGCGAGACGGAAGCTGGTGCAGCTCAAAGTCTAACAAATCACTGGCGAGCGAAGACAAGAAAGCCGCGGACAACGGGTCATCTCACTCCCAAGAAATGATAGGCACCGTATCGCCTAGACGAAAGAACAGCTCTCCTACCTTAGGTCTGATGAGTTCCTCACCCAAGGAGCGGAGCCCCACGGGCTCAAACCATCTCAGTATCGGCGGTGCGGCGGATCCCATCAACAACTTTCTGCAGGTTCTGTCTCCAGACGTGCCAATAGATGTCCAGAAGAGATGGAGCTCACCGCCGATCTGTGTAGACGAGCCAGGGTCAGAGCCAGACGACACCGACCAGACGCCGGAGGACGCCATAGCTGCTGAGGAGAACGAGGACGACGACGACAACGACATGGACCCGCTACAGGACCTGGCAGCGGCGGTAAAGCGGAAGAGAGCCGATTCGGGGGAGGGCGCCCTGGCACGACTGCGGGCCAACTCCAGCGAGATGATTCGCCGCGCCTCTCCTCGCTTGGCCCGCAAGGAGGAAGCGGGCGACACAGAGAGCCTGCTCACCGTACAGCGCAAGACGTCCGGGAGCGCTGGCTCGTTCTACCGGGACAGCTTCCAGAGCAACCGCCTGCTGAACCAGAGGCGCCAGAACACCCGAGCCTCCTACTCCCTGGACGTGATCACAGGCCCTCGCAGCGACAGCGGCTACGCCAGTGATTGCGGATTCCGCCGTCCCGGTAGCCTGGGCGTTACTGTCACCAAGAAAGAGCGCAGGGCATCTCTTTCTTTCCCCATAGATAGCGTCACCATGGGGGCACTGACGTCTAGGGTCAGGACATCTGTCAGTAACTCCTTCAGTGCCATCAGTGGGCGTGGCACCAAGGCCCTCACGTTGCTCAAGAAGCAAGACAAAGCGGCCAAACAGCTTGGCTTCATCCTCGCCTGTCTGGTCGCTTGCTGGACACCTTACTTCCTACAGGTTCTTATCTATGCCTTCTGTTCCGAATGTGGTGACGTCACTGCCATGACTATTGCTGTCTTTCTAGGTTACACCCATTCGCTATGTAACCCCATCCTCTTCGCCTTGTTCAATCCAAGGTTCCAACGCGCTTGTAAGCGAAACCTGTTCCCGTGTCGTTCACGGGAGGAGACCCCCCGGGGTATCCCAGTTGTACCGCCATCTATGATTTAAGGACGTAAAGGCAAATCACAACATATGCGATTCTCAACGATCTCTCAGACCAAATCTTCAAATTGTCATGAACAAACCTAAGTCTTAGTGAAAAAGATACCGCTGACATTTGTTGCTGAATTCGCGTTAAACAACTCTTTTTACTGTTTTCTTGTTACATTCTCTGAACAAAACCATTTACACAGCACCATCAATTAACTGAGTCTGCTCGCAAATGTTGTAAATGGCCTTTACAATAATTTCAAAAATAACAGTAGAAGGAAATCGATTACACGCCATTTTCTCTATTTATAGTGGTCCACCACTGATTTATACTTCATTGATTTGCATCCGATGAAATTTAGATGCTAGGGATCGATTCTGAAGTTTATAACCGCTCACGAAGTCATCATTGTTACTGATTTCTAATCGGCTCGCAATTAGAAGTATTGTCCAGAGCCCAGCATGAAAATATTATGTATCAGAAATTAGCCAGAATATACCGCACCCACGGAATCCGACTCTCGATGATAACGGGCAAAATCATTTATATGAGCGGGAAACTTCACCCAACTGAACTGTCTGTGAAATTTGTTGGGCCGGTCCTCAGCCAAGCTGAGGCCAAATTAAAGTAGGGATTTCAGTCACTTCAAGTAGCCTCTCAGTCTGACTCTCGCGACAAAAATTCCTTGGATTTATGATACCTTCTGCCGAAGGATGGACCAAGATTCTGATGTGTTGCTGAATATTTTCATGTTTCTAAAACTGCGCTCCGTCGGTGGAGCACAAGCCGATTCTGACTGACATATTTGTGATATGAAACAATTTCTGGAATTTCATAGCGCGTAACACAGTCGTAAATTTTGTACCGAGGAGGCGTTCTTCAAAAAAAAAAGTCGGTAGTAATGTGAGGAAATATTGCGTCCAGAATTTTTTTTCTCTTGAAAATGAAATTTATAAACATTTGCACATCACGACGACATGCAGCGCATGGTTACTAGTGACCCAGAGCACCAGTTCTACAAATATAGTCTTCCTTTGTAGCAAGGGAGAAAGTGGTCTCTTTTTATATCTCTTCGGGTGTTCTCTCCAAGTGAGATCTAGGTATGACTGTATATGGACTGAAAAATGGACGAACGGACGGACAGAAATTCGAATTGAAAAAAAAAGTCCAGACGAGCGGACCAACTAATGAAAAGACGAAGCATATATAGGCCTAAAGCTTAATTTATAAGTTATCGACAAACATGTAAAACTCGACCATTGTAGACATGGGCTAAAGCTCAAGAAAAATTGCTTGGACAGAACTCTGGACAGACGGCCAGACTTCTTTGATCTGTGATCTTTGCCAGAAAAACGAGCACTCTTTCGAACAAAGTCGGACGGACGGACGAACAACCCGACCGACATGCAGAGAGACAGACCAGGCATCTCTAACAGAAGGACAGACCATGGAGGTTGACCGACGAGCAAAATCCTAAAGCGGTGTTTTTCCGCTCTTTTGGACGTGTGAATTTCAGAAGTATTTTATCAAAACGCTCAAACGTCCTTGACGACTGGTGTAACCCGAGGCTGGCCACGGTGTGTTATGTGCCGTTCATTCATGAATTAGCATACACGCGCGAAGGCTCATGTGCCTTGTGACAGCAATCCACCACGCTGGATGGGGTCGACTTATTCATTTGATTCGAGCCTTTTTCTCCATCCCGAACGGTTTGTAAAGTCACACTGCAGATTGTGTGAAGGCGAACCAAGACTGTATTATTTTTATTCACTGGACGTGAGCTATAAAACTAATGCACCAGCATCGTTTCATGCATAGCCTAAGGGCACAGCGTGTGTATGTACACCACGCCAAGAACGGCAAAGTGCAAGTAACAAAACATCTTGAACATATTTCCATGTGATGAAGCCCCCTTTGAAAAGGCCTCTGGTGAGACCATTGGAATGACAAGTCACCCTGTAGTCTCACTTACAGGAGTCATTATTTTTGTCGCAGATAGTCACACGTGCAGTTAACTGCTCACAAAATATTCAGCAATAGGATTTGCTGCTTGATGTCAACGCCAGTGTATAATGAAATACCATGCAGTATTCATGTACTTATAAGGTAATCGTTGTTACTTGGTGTAAATGAATGTGTAATTTAATACAATATTCATAAAAAGGCAAAGCAGTATTAATAATTTTCATAATCAACCAAAGAAAGAAACTGATATTGATCCGGTGATAACTGTAACTACTGAATCTTTTTCTAAGTATCCCTTTAATAGGGAAAGGCGATTCATTAGAAAGTCTGGATAAGAAAAAAATGCACACTTAGTCGATATGACCTCAGACCTCGCAAGGCTTTCCTTACGAAATGCCATTTCGACGAGATGCTCTCTCAAAGATGTGTCTTTGTCACAAGCCCTCCAATTTACTCTTAAATGTGTAAGTTCTGATATCTCGTGGAAAAAGACACCCCACTGAAATTCTGACAACCGGCACTGAAAATTAAGAGGGTATTGATTGCATGCATATATACCGAATGCACCCATGGTGATTTTCGAACGAAGCTATGGTACACGATTGTAACTTTGAAATGGATTTGGAATGTGTTTTTGTTGGTTTTGTCTCCTTTTGTTTTCTTTTGGTTTTCAATTAAGCAAGGTTGGAGTTGATATTTGGCTGTTGTTTTGTTCAAGACTGGGCGTTAATTGTTTTGACAGGAATGTCATTGTTTGGTTTCATGTGCAATTATTATTGAACAAAATGATAATTCTACTTTGCAAAAACTGTGGTGTTAAAATTAACACTTTGAGGTGTTATCAGATGACCATACCATAGGGAGTTACTTCAACACTGCCGGTGTTACTTGACACACCTATGAATGTTACAATGCACTGGAGGGTGTTACAAGTAACACCAAATAACACCAAAAATTTTAACACCTATGAAAAGTGTTGGTGTAGTCCTCTGATAACACCGGGGGTGTTAAATTTCACTCACTCTTTGGAGCCTCTGAGTGTTGATTATGTTCAGGTATCATTTTTGTTTTTAAATTGTGTAAGCCTTCTGATAATTTCTTTCACAGAAAACAATCCGTGGTATGCACCCCACTATTTTGTCGAGGCTACAAGCATTTATCCATGTGCGGGTTAAGTGCACTTTTCAGAATTATGTGGAAATTGTGTAGTCATGAACGATTACGGCACAGCGTAACTAACTTGCATTTGAAATCAAAATAGTATTCAACTACTGTTGTGGTTTAATCTGAATAGGGCAATTCACTGAATTTATATAATTACCAATTGAAATTAAATCTGTAATTCTCGTCCGCGATATGTATTATGTCATCAGAACCCATTTTATTTAAATGATTACGATAAAAGCACCATTTCTACCTCCGTTTTGTTTATGTTCTTTGTTCATTATGTTAATAAAGTAACAATGTCAGTATAACTGGTTTTGACAGTCGCATTAAGCGGTTAGTATTCAACCTTTTAGCGGACAAGAGAAGCACGTTTGTTGAAATTTATTTCACTAAGTATATGGTAATCCCATTTAATTCGTTGTTTTATTCATCGTGCAAAATCGTTTGACTTGTATGTTCACTTGGCGGGAATCTTTACGCTTATTTGTTCTTAATATGATGGATTGCAACATAAATCTACTTATCAAGGTGATGGTAGGCGAGATGTTCGCCAGAACTTCACATCATAGAGCCAACATGTCCTCGAGTACAATCAGTTGAGTACAGATGCGATCCCGCAGACAAAAAATGTGAAATAAATCACGTCTGCGTGTAAATTCCTCAACTTTAATCAGCCCGCATTGAGGCATTTGAAACTCGGTGACAATTAATCTTGTGCTCTACTTTTATTAAACGGATGTAATGTAACATTTATTCTGCGTGGTTTTGGAGGCAGTTTCTTCGACACAGACATGGACAATCTGAATGATTTTTCTGTCGATGCATTCGCAGAGTCTCTCACGTAACCATGCTGAACACTGATCAACTGCACAAATGCCTGGAAAACAGGAAGTTATCAGTTTGGGTAATGTTTTGACCGACGATAAAACAAGTTGTTCACTTATTGCTTCCTGTTTGTTCATCTTACACTGCAAACACGGCTGAAATTAACCCAACCCGCTGTGGATTTCAGGTTTCTGTTCAGCTTTTTTGTAAAATTAATTTAACATTAGAACTGGTTGATCAGTGGCGAGTGTTGACGAAAGGATATTGAGCTGGACTGTGCGGGATGTTTATTTTTGACTGCCTCTCCAACACCATATGTAAAGACTAAGAAAAGCAAACCATTTTTTCTTGAAATCGCAGGCCAGACATTGCCCGCAGCGCGGGGAATGTGTGCGGTATGTCGAGAATAAAAAGAAAATCACGAATGTAATTGTGTATGGTGAAATAAAAAAAAAGTGATGGAGCGGCTGTTTTACTTTGGCGTCTTTTAAGGAAACGGGACACACGTGATCGTCTCACCCCCCCCATGCGGCCCAAGCCTGGGGGATATTTTTGACGGGTTTTTGTCACCGAGGCAAGGGCGGATATGTTGATGTGGATGTTTCTGCGTCTTCGCGACAACGTGAGTCGCGTTAAAATAAATAACCATATCCTGAGATGAAACCAAACGGCTAGACAGCCTGCCGACCAGCCAAAAAGTAGAGTGACGAACAGACAGAAACTCGGCAGTCACGCGCATTAAACATCATCCGGCGAGGGGCATATAACAAGATTGTGACGCCAATAAGAAAAACCACGATGAAGGCACCCCAAATCATTTTTTGGATCGCCAACAAGGCGAGCATTTCAAGCGGTCGTCATGCATGCATGCGACCGTTCCTCTAGTGCCTCACAGAACACATGAATTCATTCCTTTTTTGGCATATCTGCACGGGCCACTTGAAGTTGCTCTTTTTAGGGTCGGGTTAGAGATAAAGGTTAGCATTTGGTGCCAAGAAAGCGGTGAACGTGGAGGGGGTAAGATGCGAATTCCAAAAGGGAGTATACGGCCGAAAAATTCAGTAGGTGAAATTAGATTAAGTCTAACTCAATTTTCCCCTTGTCTGTTTTTAAATCTCCCGCCACTTATATCCGCTATTCGGGAAAGAGGGAACATTAAATGGCTTGTGAACGTCAACACTGTTCTGTCTTAAATTTGGATAAAGGTAAACCTATCTAAGAGTTAGTGAAAACCTAATCTCTTTAATCCACAGGAGCAGCTGCCCTCGACCTTATCCATCTTGACATTTCTCTCTCGCTCGTGATAGCATACGGCCGAGACTGAAATATTTATAGGCCAGCGGTATTAGGTGTCTCCCCAGGAAGGTCCATCATATCGTAATGAGGAAAGTCCAGCACATTACTCTCTCGCGCCACTGAGTACACCGTGGGATAGTAGGCCGGTCAGGTCACCATCGCTAGCCGATTCATGCGATTTGCGTATTCCCGCACGATGCATCGCTATAGCTCCACTGTGAATATGGCTCATCACTTGAACACGTATGTCTAATTATCCTATCCACAGAAACGCCCCTCCTTTGTGCTGCCGTGGAAGAGCTGCCCAACCGGGAGAAAAATAAGCTTCCAAAATGAAAACCCAATAAACGGGTAATACTCGTAGCAAAATACCTACGAAACCTTTTTTTCTGGTTCTGAAACATTTGCATAACCATTTATAGTGGAATCAGCTAGTCTTGCCCGAGTAGGATTAAGGAAAGGTTAAAATACTAAAATGCACGAACACACTAGAATGCACAAAATACGTGGCCCGTTAAATAAAGAGAAATTTGCTAAATTATTGTCTGGAAACAGCACCATAAGGACAGAAAATTATTTACACTAAAGCATCAGGCAAACGATATCAACAGTACACTCCTGATGCGCTATAAATATGAAGAAAACACGAATTATCATGTCCCAAATTTCAAACTCGGGTTAATTTTACAAATTACCAAGTATTGGTAAAAGCATGAGAGGATTACTTGGAGATGTAAGTCCTCCAGACGGTCACTTTTAACCGGCTGGATACGCCTGTCATAATCGTCACCTTGAATTTTATGGTCTTTTTCTTAAGCGCTATGCTTTGCTGTCAAAGCAGAGTCGGTTAGAATTAACTGTGGCAACCCACTGGGACGCGGCCTGCCCTAGCTGAATATCAATTAATACGTCCCTGTGGAATCGACACGAGGTAGGTTTCACGGCAAAATGGATTGCGGACCCGCGCGCAATTTACACATGCACCCCATGTATTTTCAGCCATTCCGTCACGGTGCAAATCTTCCTGTGTCCGGACGAGGGAGATTTCATTTCCCGCCTTCACAGTCAGCTTTTATTGTAATTTTGGTGCTTTCTCGGGACTCGGAAGTGAGGAAGAAAAGGCCTAATGATTGATTTTCTGAATGACCTTCATCAAGAATTGTGTGCATCTACTGTACTGGCAAAGTGCATGCACCCAACCCGCGTAACGATTCAAGGCAACTTTGACGAGGTGAAATAAATACCTTGTGGTTGCAGCTGTCTTTGACTTTTCTTTCTAAACGTGTACAACCAGAGTTGTCTTGGATATCCCCATGGCTGTATATTACATTAATTCTATTTACGAAGTGAGAAAAAAGCAGGAAAGAGCAGGCAAATTGTCCTCCTTATTGAAAGAGAAGAGATGAGATGATGCATGTAAGGTAATGCTCCTCAAATCCATTTTATTTGTATGGTCGGTGGTTACATTTAGTGAGTAGAAGGTTGCCGGACTATTCGATAATTGTTAGTCCTTCTCGCTTTCAAATGCGTCCAATCTGGGGCCAAACTTTTATCAATAGAGGGTTTGCATGCCTGCCATCTTGCAGGCCAGTGCTTTTATTCCACAGGGTATGCACAAAGGAGGTTTTCCTGTGGAACAAAACAACTGCCCTCCAAGACGGCTGCCACGCAAAGCCTCTATTCAAAGTTTCGTATTTTTTAACTGCAGGCTTATATATCCTCGCCATAGGCCTAGGGCTTCCTCAGTCCACTCGTTATACAGCGCTTCTTCAGACCCTCCAATCAAATCCTGTGCAAAAACACAGCGTAATTGTAAATTCTATGCAGAATCTTTGGTATACAGTTTCACTGGACAAAGTTGGCTGGTTTCCAAGTCATTATTCCTGGCGTTTATTTTTTAACCTTGTGCTCCTCGCCCACATGCGCTCATCAGTTAGTCATGATTAACGCACCATCTACATACCACAGCACAGTAGAATAGCAGACCACGGGAAGGTATCTTTAAAAATTTATCAAACATCGACCTTCAAACTATCAAAACGCATCTGACTTTTCAACAGGGCCTTTCGAAGTAGTCATTTATAATTCATACATGCCGTTCCATCATTTATGATGAACTATAACTATGCTTTAATTCTCAGATGACCCACCGATAGAATATTTCTCAGCCTTTAGGAGGGTGTGAATAGTAGCTCTGTCATGGTGGACTTCAAGGTCTTGGCAAATCCAAGTACTTAGCAACAGCAGAAGGGAAACTGCATGGGATCTTAAGGCGCCCTCTCATGATACGCATGCGAGAGTGTCAGGCAAAACTATTCCCCCAAACTTGACTGTTATAATGGTAAAATTGAAACTGTTGGACAAATCTGATCATGCTCATGATCAAATTTATTTCGTGGCGTTGCTTATCGATTAGCACAATTGTAGCAGATATGCTTTTCTGATAAATCGACCACGTGCTCAAGCTATAGGGCCAACGATTACGAGCGCATTATATTTAGATGGTTGCGTCACCACTTAAGGCAAATTCTGCCTCTAAATTAATATGTGGGCCCTTGCTGCAAAATTCAATGACCATAATGGAGTGGCTCTGTCAAGGCAACTTCGTGCACTCGGTAGTGTCCTGAAAGGCTAGTGGTCCACGAAGGCAGGCCACTCAGGGAAACATTTGCCAAAGCCTCGGAACAAGTTTTTCATCCCTAGCTTTGACGACGGCTGAGAATAATCCTAAAAATTCCCCGGGTGTAGAAAGTCAGGCGCCCTCTGTTGTCTTCTTTTTGACGGCTCCGTACATGTACCTAGATCGCACAAAGTGATGGCGCTGTAACTAATGCCGAAGTTGATGAGTAGTATCCTCAGACCATTATAAACACAAAGCTTATAATTATTATTACCTTTCATATTCTATTCAATTTTTGGTGGATTAATAAATGACTTCTGGAGAAATTTCTTTTCAAAGATGATCACCCCTACGCTAAAAGCCCTAAAGCCTATTGCCATTTATGAAACAATAGGCGTACGAATTAATCAGTCTGTCTTTAAACTGGTCTCTTGACGGGCGATGACACGTCCCATTTACCCTTATACTGCTAGAATGTAATTCAACTAGTCTTGACACAAGACTAGATGTGGATAGTCATTCCAACCCCCAGACGCAAACATAAATAGTAGGGCCATTTTTGTGACTGTACCGTTTTGTAGCTTCTTACTTTTGCACTGACAGGGAGTACATCATTAGTGCGCGCCGGCGAGCTATAGGGGAATTAAATTCCAAATCCAGTCTTGGGCCGAGACTAACTTCAATTAAACAAGCAAACACTATATAAAACTTCCCCTACAGAGCATTTGACACGGGGTATATGGTGGTTTAGAGTACTAGGCCTACCTCTTTCATGTGGTGATAGTGTAATTTTTGTATTTGACTGGAATTTTGTCAGATGAAATTTCATGTACGAGTTTTTCGTATTTGTGTTCTTACAATAACTTTAAAAACTCTTTTTATAGAATGAATTTCAATTCGCTGTCTGTGATGAGAATTTCAAGTTAAACAGTTGTCCATTGAGCTATCTCACCAATATCTCGAATATACATGTCCTAATAATAATATGTTTCTTTAAATGTATTTTATATTTTTAATTGATAGTGTTACGCAGTCTTTGTCCTTTGCAAAATAACTGTGGAGATTGCCAAAATAAAACAAAACAAATCAACTATGCACGCATTTGAAATGAATGAATGAGATTTTGTGCATTTATTAACGAAAGTCTCATTTACGAACAAGGTAATCACAACATCATTAATGAAAAATACACTGATAGCATTACTTGAGACTATTCTAGTTAATTTTCCCCCTCGAGACTATTCTAGTTAATTTTCCCCCTCGAGACTATTCTAGTTAATTTTCCCCCGGAGCCACAGCCTTCCGATTTGACCGGTTCACCGTCACCAGGACAGCTCTGAACATTGCTTCGTTAAACAGTATAATTATAACATCATTTGCACACGTCCGATTCCGATCATGAATTGGAATGTGAATTAACACATCACTTGGTGGCCAGTCATGTCATAATGTCCGTCTGTTTCTATGGGGCATTCATTTGGAACCAAGTGACGAACTTTCTTCGTGAATCTGATTGGTTAATACAAAACATCGGTGGTGTCGGATCTAGTGAAATTTGGTTTGATCTTTTATCCCACTCCGTCGCCGATTTTTGAGGGCGCACCTCTCCGATCCCTACCTACGGTGGCCAGTGGTCCGGTGAGCCCGGTCAAAATTACCCCCTTTGGAATTCCTTGTCAAAGTTATGCACTTCAAACGATTTAAGGAAGGTTCTGGTTGAGAAAACTTTCGTCACGAGGTGATTACAGTCTGAACCAGCAGACATCACTTGGGGAAAAAAATGAGTTTCCCGCCACGATATTATCCATGGGATCAAGCGAAAAATTTGATTATCCCTTGATCTCTTTCTTGTAATATCACCCCTCTTTCGAATCTCCTTAACTCTGCCCTCATTAAAGGTCAAAGCACGGTGTACTTGATTTCTTTGATCGTATCTAGGACTATTATATTACATTTCAGTTCCGATCTGCGATCAGATACCGATAAATTAAATAAATAAAATCACATTACTCTACTAATGTTATGAAAACCTTGCACAACTCCGACCAGACATAACACGAAATAGGCATGCATAGGAAATGTGAGGAAATAAACATAATTGCACGATATTAATTTTTGGATTTCAGATTTAGTATTTACAGTGTATGGAAGTACGCAACGATTCGGTGACATCAGCGTTAAATTACACTTAATAATGTGATTAAGAGAAATCACAGAAAACTGAGAAAAAAATGCATCTTAACCCTAACCCTCCTCAATCCTTCACCTGTTGGAGGACTGAGGAGTGTTAGGGTTAATGTTTTTGCCAAAACGACACCAACTTTTCAATCTCAGCCTCGAGATCAACATTGCCATGAACTATAATCAGCGGCAAAAATAACACTACATGGTAAAATAGGTACCGTATTAAATGCACCCTGCAAGATTAATGGCGCCTTTCCATACGTACATTTTTTAGGTGCGTTGCGTAGGCCTATACGAGGCGTTGATGCGTTTGACTTTCACGGACAAAAAAAATCGATTCCATGAACATAACACACGTGCGCGTTGCGTTCGGCCTTCGAAATCTCCCCGGGAGTGATTGTGACGGATACGCAACGCTTGGTTTTAGGGTTGACGTGCATATGGAAAGTCAAATACTACGTATTTTAAACACAGAGAGACACACGTGAAGTTAGTTCAACACTTCTTAGTGTGTACTTGACATTGAGAACTACCGATTACACCGGCTTTACAGTCACACAAACATAATTATCGACCACAGACATGACATCCCAACCTGTAAGACATTATTTTGTTCGTGTCACACATTAACCAACAGGATACGGACGGTCATTTTTATTCCGTTGGAGGTGAAAAGTTCGAGGTCGCTGGATCTAATGCCTGGATGTGAAACCCACATCTGGTTTTTTTTTGCAATTTTGTATCCGACTCTTTGAAGTTCGAGTCTCGCTTTGCATTCAAACCAGTAACGTAACTGGAGTAAAACTGCACAGGACATGAACTTGGGGGCCTCATTTTCTGAAGGGAACATTCAGTGAGTTCGGTCATAGTTTTAAAGACATCACCAATGCGATCCCCATTTCTTTTCCTTCTCTACATTCTGAGTGGGGAAGGAGGCACATGGAGGGGCACATTTCTCGAGTGGGGGTGGGGCTTTCCCTCATGCCCCCCTTAATAGATAAACCATTATCTTTGCTGGTGAACTTGTATCGTAAATCGTTTATTACAAATGCTGTTTCTGTATCCTTAGCTATCGTTAACCATGGTTTGGTACATAGAATAACGGGTAATTCCCTCCTTGATGGTCGTTTACGTCATACAGTTCCATACAGTTCTCTGTTTTATTCCATTACTCTCGGTATTCGCTGTAAGCCTGTAATCCCTGCTAAGAACGACGCCGAAGCGCACACGTACACTCACGATTTAATTGAATTACCTTCTCAAAGTTGAGAAGGTAATTCGACAACAGATGGTTTACCGTAGAAAGGCAGAATTCATAGCCACCACAAATGTACCTCAGAAACAAGCAGGGCCTTCATCATCTATCTGGGAAACATGTGATTCCGAGATGCTAGACTTTTGGAAACACAGATTTCCAATGATAACATATATATCTCAAAGACATGGATCTCAATGATTGTGTTTCTCATAATTTTTCAGATATTTGTGATTCCGACGTACTTGTGTTGGAATAGCTAAGGAAATTATCGATGAATTCCGCGTCTGTGACATTGTCTACGGCGGAATACTGAGATATGTTAGCACAGCAAAACACATTATCAAGGGGAACAATTTACGATATCGTACACCATTTCAAAACATAAATCCAAATCAATTTTCTTTTCTTGGTTCTTGGAAAAGTTTTGAAACAACCAAAAAAGCATGCCACTCTTAATCCGTGCATGGCCACTGAATCCACGATTTGTGCTGTGACAGAGACATGATGAGTTCACCTCAACTTAAAGTGCGCATGCGTACACAAACAAGGGGGATAATGAAATCTGAGCACAGGGGGTACGAAGCATTGGGGAGGCATCATAGACGCAGCTGAATGGGCGTTTCAAACTGATGGGAGCGAGCACGACGTCTGTTGATTCGAGAGCAGAACAGCAAGACCCAAGGCACGAAGGCAGACAGTCCCATTAGACCCACGCACAGAAGGCTGATGGGTACCCATATACTGACCGACAGGTTGGACTGGTAGTAGGTGAAGTGATCGACAAGGAGGTATATTCCCACAGCAGTTACGGCAAGGAGCAGGAGAAAGACTACGATGGAGGAAGCGATGGTGTTCTCTTCCGATGGCTACAAAGATAGGAGGGAAAGAAAAGAGTTTCTTTGAGGAGATCCTTACAAATCAGAAATGTCAGACACAAAACTGCTGCAAACTGCTTGCTGATAACAATGGCCTTGAATACACACATCACAGGTTACCGTGCCGTTAAGAAAAATACCCCTGGGATCGAAACCTCAGGCCCCGTTCTGGAATTACAAACCAGGAGATTCAGCCTCGTCCCCTACCTTTACTTTCATTTAACATGTTGGTTTTTCGAGTGTTCTGTGCCAATGAAAACATATATATCCATGACCAAAATGAGTTCCCTTCTGCGCTGATGTTTCGATGTTCTAATGGGGAGCGAGGAGCGTACCGTTACAAACGATCCAGATGTAGTTATCACTTAAACATGTATTTTATATCGAGCAGTGTGGTTACTCACTAGTGCTGATCCATTCCTAATTTCTTGCTTTTTGAACTGCGGTGCACAATATGTCAGAAGCAATGTTAATGAAAAACTGGTACAGTAACCATTGTTTGAGATACATTTGCGGAGACTGCAAATTGATTCTATGATAGTCGAAATGAATGACTTTAGAGAACAGCTTAACTAAAATTCATCCTTAATCCGATGAGTTTTCATTGATACTCACAGTGAAGTGCGCCCCCTGCAATATCCTCTTGTTGTAAGGTTTCTGGCATATCTCACATTCCTCTGCCCCCTTCAGTGTAATCCACTTCAGCAGACATCGCCGATGAACGAACTCAGAGGACCCTGAACAGCCGCACGGTGATACTAATCGGTACGGTGCTGGGAGAATCGAGCAAAACGAATCTTTAGCCCTAGACCATACCATACCTATTGGTTTTTATCTAACAATCGTGTCATTATAATTGCCCTGATTTATTTAGCTTTAAGTCGCCATAATACATGGTTAACTTGACAGTCAGTCGCCCTAATCCTCAATTTCAGTATCCCCATTTCTGGGATAAATATTTCTGAAATCGGCCTTCAAAAGGATCTCTTGTTGTAGTGGAAACCGGTGACGCAAGTTTTGTACTTCAACTTTCAAAGCACACTCTATGGCGGCTGCGATCCAAATTCCTGATTCTTGCAAAATCCTATAAAAAATCCTGATTGTCTTTAAAGTTCTCGATTTATTTCTTATCATTCTTCTTATTTTTCCATCTTAAGCTTCCCTTTATATTTTTCGTGCTGTTATAACCAACGGTTCCTCACAAGAACGGAGGGCACCAACCTTTACTGTCCTGGCAGATTCGACATGTGGGCGTGTCCAGCGACAGGACAGACAGCTGTGTCTTACAGCTGAAGGTGGGCGAAGAGGGAGGCTTAGGGGGCGGTTCCGTCTCCTCCACGATTACGGTGACGAGCGGGAACGGGTCACCTGGAGGAGGGGTCGTCGTCGATGAGGAACAACCAGGCTCGTTATCCATGTAACCTTCATTCTGGTGAAAAATCAGAGATTGAGAGAAGACATGTTGAGACACAAATTCGACGTCAAAAAGCAAAGGAAATCGAGGGGGATCCTGAACCAAGTTTTCTGGGGCATTTGTGGATGGGGGTAAAAACGCGGAGATGCGTTTATGTGCTTTCATGGCCTTTCTGAGAGGTGAGACTAACTTTGGGGCTTTCACACGTTTTTCTCTCATTATTTCTCAAAAAGAAAACAAAAATTGTTCCTGTTGGGGAGGGGGCCATGGCCCTCCGTTGTCCCGTAGACCCACCACTGAAGAGGGGCGGTAACCAATCAATCTGCTTGTTCTCACACTCAGCTCCCGGCCCATGGAGCAACTTAAGTTAGGTCAAGTTCGAGCGGGTACTATTTTAGGTCTCAGTAAAATCGACCAGTTGTTAGCAAATAGTCCTCCATCGAACTTGCTCTAAACAGAACAAGTGTTTGTGTTGGGAAAACTAAGTCGAGAGCCCGTCACACGAAATATAAAAAATTGCATCTTGGCTGGCAACCTACTTTTTCTGAGCAAAGATATTTCTCCGCTTAGCAAATTGTGTGTTCAGCAGCTCCATGAAAATCGTCCCCTTCGTACTGCGTTTGCATGTGACGCGGCGTCAGTCACTACGCATAATGTTATAAGTTTGCTGATAAAAAGCGACAAGGCATCCACAAGTATATACCTTGCTTTTCTATCATAATTTTTTTGTGAAAGACATTAGGCTCCCCAGTAAGCTGGTTTTGGGTGCCAGCGAATACAATTATCCCTTTCAGCTAAACCTCGAGTCATTGCAAACCGGAAAAGTGTGTGTGTTAATCTGGCGATACTAGATCTGTCCACGTCTCCTTTTTTTCTTTTTTTTTTAAATTCACAATTCTAAATGCGGCATCAATTTAATAATGCATGCCTTGATGTCAGTCGGTTATTTGATTACCTTCTAGTGGTTGATTAAAAAGCCTTACTTCAGAAAAACAACCGAAGGAATCGTTCTGCTTGCACTGCCGATTTTCGCACGATGAAAAAATTTGCTGAGGACAAAACAGACCGAACAGCTATAGTATAGACGGTCGGTTCAGTGAAAGCCGCTTGTCAGTTTTGGGGATCGATGGACGAACAGACCAACCATCAGTTATTGTGTGACAGAATGGACAACATTAGCGCATGACCTGCGCAAACCCCCCCCCCCTTCCCCAGAGGAAGGAAAAACGAGGCAAAATCGTCGCCATTGTTCCAGTCACACAACTTCCTTAGTTCGTGACAACGTCAGCTGCTCTGATAATTATTTTAATTATTGGTGTTGCCTTTCTGTACCGACGCATTCATGACGTCTGCTCAGTGTTTGTCTGAGCAATGGCGGCTACCGCAAACTGTTTCCACTGATATGTTCCTCGTACATTGAAACAGTTTTGACCAACGAACAATAGGATACAGTGAACCTGACGTATTGAAAGCACTTTTTAATACACCGCCCTGCTTGTAACAAAGAAAATCTGACGCCCCAAACCTTTGTATTCCTTATTCTCTTTATGCTAATAAAAAAGCTTCCTCTTCTAAAATGGGAATTACAACGACCTTGTTGTAAAGGACTGGTGTTTGATTGTATTGTGTAACTTTTGAACCAGCCGAAAAAGGGTCTTTTTGTTCCCAGCATAGGCCTACAAGTGCTCGGTAAACATCGTGCTTCAACTCAATAAACCTTGAAAAATAAAGACGCGTCCTCGAACAATGAAAACTTCAGCTTGCGTATTTAATAAGGTGAACCTCGACTAAAACTTACCGTTTGCCTATTGTGTGGTGATATATGAGGCGGGGACCTTGTACCACGCCTGAACGCACTAAAATGCCGGTACCAATAACAAATAAATGAGTAATGTAATATGATGTGGGAGATACCCTCAATATTGCCTATTGGTAACCGTAGGGAAAGAACGTAGGTAAAATTTTAGCCAAATCTTGGTATCATATTACGTTAGACTGAGCATTATTGTTAGTATAATTAGCAGCCTTGTGCATGCTTCTTAAATTACATATTCCACTGCGCATGCACAAGGACATGAGCTCAAGACGTAGGCCTATGCAGTCGAGAGGAAAGGAGACGGATACGGCTCATCGTAAGCGCTGTGATTACAATCCAATTTGAGGTGCACGAGAACTGTCTATAACGTATTAATCGTAAACCTCCTGTGACACGGGCCCGTAGTGGGAAGGGGATGTTCCTTGCCCCGCCTCCGTTAAGGCACTTGGGAACGAACACGAGGCAGGTTAACAACGGCCGGCAATGTGTGAAGAAAGAAAGACCCCATTTCAGTGACGGGGAGCGATATGGGAAGCCAATTTGCTCCACGCACGGAAGTATCAATGCCTTATATCTTAAGGCTATCTAGGAGCAGTGGGGATAAGGACTGCGAAGACTGATAATTCGGGCAGAGATCCGCACCTTGCGCGTCTTAAACAACTGAAAACAAGGAATATAACAGGGGGAGATAATTTTTAAATTGAAGCGTCACGTTCACATAATTAGGAACATGTAACGTCCGCCGTTAGTGATTAGTGAGACTGTTGACTTGCTTCTGTCAACCAACATCCACTGAGAAATAAGTCTGAGTGTCCTTTAACTAGAAACTTTCAACATCCACTAAAATACCTTTCTTCTCACAACCTGGGTAAGGTTTAACTTCATGATTTCCATCAGCCAGCGGTACCGTTGTTCTCAGACTAGGTAGGCTATAAGCACTACGCAATACCGCAGCCAGATTTTGAATACCATTGCTGACACTTTTGAAGAAGCTGAAATGGACGGATGAAAATGTTGATGCTATTCCGAAATTCGGCTCGCGAAGAAGGACACGCGAGGAGAGCAACTTAATTTTTCTGCAAACTTTGGCATGCAGAAACCAGCTTGGGAAAACTTATATACCTGACACTGGCATATCGCTGTAAAACATGTTCAAGGAATATCAACGTGTAAAGTTTGTCTGTCTGATTCCGAGGGAGATAACAGGAAATTTGGGCTATCCTGAAGCTACGACTTTAGACCGGCTAGAGTGCAGCCCTTAGCTTTAACATGAAATGCGAGTCTCGATTGCAGTGAAATTGGGGGCATGTACAGCAGTGGGATATCTCCAATGGCGAACTGGCGCTACCTTAAGTCCGAATGATGCACTGGCCTTGTGCTCAAGGGAAAAAGTGATAGTTAGCATCACGGAACGTCCCAGGACAATTGCAAAGCAAATATCACAGGAAAGTGTACATTACAATTTTATCAGCTGTAACACTGCAGTTCCTCCGTGTAATAATTACTAACTGACAGGGGAGAAATGCCCCGGAGAAATTTCATTCCGACCATCCGTGGGGGCTTTATAACTTCCCAAGTGGAAATTTGTTTCCAGCTTGCAGATTTCAACATGACCAAGCAATATCAAGTGCCCGTATCGTTCTTTTGAGCACTTGAAGCGTAAGTTTACTTTTGGGAGGGCCTAGGCTCCTTCTGCATCTATAGGCAGATTTTATCCTGATCAAGAGAGAACAGCCGATATTGGTCATTCATTTTACATTTCACACGATCTGGCAGTATTAAGCCTCTGTTTAGCATTACTGGTGGATTTGCACAATGAAAACCACAGAATCAATGAAAGATGCAACGAAACTGGACGGCAAAATTCCTCTTTCGACTTCTCAAGCAGATACGTTGCGGCCGCGGATGGGCGTTTGCATGCACAATCATAAGAGGACGGCGATCGTGTAAGAGCCGAGGCTGAACCGTCGCGCATCGCTGACCCGTCGGCAGTGCTCAACACTACAGAACACATGGTGCATCCACATGGTGCATGGTATATGGGAACATTTCGAGATGACTGTACTTAGTATGGCCTACAAATCCTACACATCCTCGCGCTGCAATTTTTTGCTTGGGCCTTGAACTGTTCAGTTATCCTTATCCATGATTACCCGAACAATCCTCGGTCCTTCACCCGTTAATTGGGGACCGTTGGGGCAGAGCCTTAATAAACAAGATAGGTACACGTACATGTACATACGCCCAAATATACAGCGCTATCTCGTTATACATGTATTGTCACGGCTGGGAAGGGGTGTTTGCATTTTTCAGCGGTCCGAGAGCGACTGGCAATGCTCAATCTGTTGCTCGGATAGTGAGAACATGACAAAAGTGGCCGTGAAACTGAAGGGGGGATTTTGGTGGTGGTGTGGGACAACATGGTCAAGGTTGCTGCCGGTTTATCACAGATGCAAATGTACTGAAGACAGGAAGTGTGGTTACGAAAAGACAGGCTCAAAACCTTGACAAAGGCTTCATGCATTCAGTTATAGCTTCAAATATTGAAAACTATGCGATAAATCAAGATTTCTTTTGATCGTTAATAAATAATCGTCTTGATCACCTCAGATGACTCGACACATTAAAGCGATGCAGCTAATGGGCAATTCTTACACCTAGAACTATGTGGGGCGCTCATCGATCCAAGAGACGGCACGATGAGCCTCAGTTTGGTTGAAAACTGTGGTCCCTATCGCATCTCTTTCGCTTACCCACACCGAGACATATGCACTACGTACCCCCCTCGGAAAGAATCATGATGTGCACAATTACTGTACTGGAGGAACACCGATCCATTATTCATCCCACTGCCTCGCGTGCTTTCATGATTATAAACCAGGCACGGAGGTAAGCAAACAAGATTAAGCAATCCATAATGTTAATTCTTGCCATCGTCAAATTGCCACGGAGACTGAATGTCCCAGCGCGAAATCGTTTCAGCATTGACGGCAATGTAGTCAGTATTCAATGCACATCATAACTTGAAGCTGAAAGCATTATCTTGGTCCATCACGTAAAAGAATTCACGCGGTCCTTGGCAGAATGTCTACAAAGCCATAGATTTGGACCTCCTCCCAATAAAGGATGGAGGTAGAGAATAAAGGAAACAAAAAATAAACTCAAAAAGGGAGGGGACTATAAAACTAAACATACATGCATTCATTTCCCCTTCCTGCAGAATAACCTTGTTATAAAAAACCCTAAAATATGCCATTATAAAGAACTAAAAATGCATTTTCATCATAAAGTACAATTTCAGTGGCCTTGCCCTTCTTTCGCCTTCTTAAACGCTTTTTTTCCCTGTCATAATTCCCGTGCGGAAAGTGCAGGTATGCCCAGAAGTGCATGGCGAGTATCGAAGCAGCTGTGGACCCGGCTGGCTGCTGGGTCAAATTCCACCCGCATAATGTTCGATACCTCGGCACGAAAACCGAACGACCAGTATTCCTCGTACGGTTGCCGGCCAAATTATAATGTGAAGTACATTGATTTTGAACCTAAAACAGTAAAATGGAACATGTACCGGCAAACAGCACGCATGAAAGTAATGCGCGAAATAATTTGAAACGGTTTATCTAGTTCCTGATTTCTCCCATCGTGTACGATGGTCTGAATCTGCATATTTAATACCTAGGTCTACAGCCGCTAAGTATTAGTAATTAGTATATATGGTAAAAATGAAATTCAGTCTGATATATAGCTCTGATAATAATAATACAGCATGATACATGTCATGTTTGTCTGTTTGAATATGGTGGACCATGTCTCTATGGGTGGACAGTGAAGGTGCGATGCCATCAAAAATGCAACAAGGAAATGAGACCAGTCTCCATGGTAAAACTGACAAAATTTGCATACCTACCTGATAGCAACTGCCTTCCATGTTGTCAGCCACGTAGAAAGAAATATTTTCCGTAAAAAGACTGGTCAGCTGGTCTGCACCACAGACTAATTCAAAGCACAGAAATAATGCCAGCACCGTGGAGCCATCGATTGCAGAATCACTGTTGATATTTGTGAATTCTTTTGTTCGATTGAATTCAATTCACGGTGAGCAGTGAAATGCTACCGAGATGTTTCCATTGTCGGCACTAATTGAAGCTCGTCGATGGCGAATGTCCACGCGTGACGCCGGTACAGGAGTCCACGTATACCGCGCGTGCGGTGCAGCGGCTAAGCTTGCCTTGAATGAACGATATCGCACAAGGAAATAAATAAAACTGGCACTGTGAGATATCCTGAGCTGTGAGTTTATCCTTCTCTCTCATCCATGATAGTGGATGTTGACTGCCCGTGTTGCGGTTTCACAAATTCCCTTCAACAAAACAATAGAAAGCACACATGTTCACCATATAGAGCAAGGAACCAGCTGATTCCGGGCTGTGCGCCCATAAAACACTACACGGGATTTGAGGGTCGCAGACAAAGGACCCGATTAAATGTTTTATGCTGGACAAACAAAAACAATGTGCCTCGATGATTACACTGAGCATGCGCAATGTGGCTATCTATTATGTTAATTTTGTGACGCAGAGTTAAAATGGCAGCGCCCATGGTACGTTTGTCTCCTTGGTTCCGATGCAATCCACGTTTGACGCAATTATTGCAATTCAAATAACTGCAGATAAAGCAGAGCCTGGGTAAAGTTCAGTAAAACAAATGTTCCCGTTCTCGTTAAGTTTGCATGCTACGCATTGAGTCGCTAGCTTTGTGAGAAACGTGTTATTATCTGGTCCAGTAAATGCTAGTCCAATTTCCGGACGAACAACGATAGGCATGATACTTAGCATGCCTAGGCCTACCCCAGAAGCTTTACATTTGCTCACTTTTTTTTTCTAACTTGCCAATAAAATTTTAGGGTATCACCGAAAATTTGGGTCGGTCGCGAAATCGGAAGCATTATTTTAGCATCTGAAAGTTGGATTCCGTGGTCGTTATTTGGGTATTCAAACGATGTTTTTACTAGTTGCATCCACTCTAGGCCTATGCCTCTGTTACTAAAGAATAGAGTGAACGATAATCGATGGGGCGAAGTGGGGATGAGGCGAAGTGGAAATGGGGCGAAGTGACCGACACCCATCCAGAAGTGTGGGGTTAGACCCCGATGTCTTCCCCACTCCCAAGAACGTTTGTCAGAGTGGGGGCGGGTGTTCATGGGAGTGGGGCGAAAGTTGGACCTCACAGTTCTGGAGGAGGCCTAACTCATTAGGCCATACAGTTCTTACTTCCTGAACAATTCTTGGCATGTAAGCTACTGAATACTGCACTCTACCTTTTTGATGATTCCGAACGCTATGGCATTTTGAAAGCTGCCCAGTCATCCTACTAGATAAAACGGGCAAGTTAGGGCCTACCAGTCAGTCATTCATGTCAGTTATCATGGTGACATGTGTTTGACTGTTTTTAGAGGCACGGGAGGGCCAGTCAGATTTGGCCTACATATATTAGAGGGCTCCTACCAATGCAGTTCTTAAACATCTAGTCATCCTACTAGATAAAACGGGCAAGTTAGGGCCTACCAGTCAGTCATTCATGTCAGTTATCATGGTGACATGTGTTTGACTGTTTTTAGAGGCACGGGAGGGCCAGTCAGATTTGGCCTACATATATTAGAGGGCTCCTACCAATGCAATTCTTAAACATTTTTTTGAATTATATTGTGGACTCCTGCATCTTTGTTATTCTTATCTAAGTTAGAAGTCGTTTTCTGTTCTGTTAATAGGAGCATGGTCCTCAGTGACACAATCCTCACATGCATTACAATAACAGTAACATTAGGACTTGATGGGTTGGGTTATCACCTGATTATGTTGAAATGTTAAAAGAGGTGATGTAGAGTCCTGCATGTAGTTACTATGGTTACCCATAACAGGCAACATACATCTAGGCAGTCAGAGATTAGTCATCTGTAATTCTCCTGAAACGTCGTTATCATGATGCTTTTGTCATGATTGTATTAAGCTGGGTTGGCACAGCATACAGTAACAACAAATTTCCATGTTTGTGTAGATATTCTTATGCGATCGGGAGCTGTTTGTGTTGTGATGTACCACAATGGATGATCTTTGCAGGCCGGCCTTGTTTGTCTCCGTGCACAGCTCAGATGAGGAGGTGGACATGTCGCGTCCACCCACATCGGCTGAGGAGTATCTTCGCAGAGTGAGGTTGTTTTGTTACCAAATACATGTTTGTGATTGTGAAACATGTCTCATGAAAAAGTTTTCTCTCCTGAAAATATATAGTTGCTGTTTGCTTTAAAACAGTGAGCTCGTGTTGGAGGACTTAATTTTATAAAACAGACTTTGGCGTAATCTGTTGGCAACGTTCATTTCTCAGTCTTGTGTCTTTCTGTAAGAAGCTGTGTAACTGTGTGATTCTTCCTGTTGAGAAATTTAATTTTGTAAGTGACTTGTTCGTGAAACCATACTCCTTTCAAAGATTGGAAGCTCAGAGTTGCCCAAGCACTGTCGTCGCAGAAGTGGACCGAGATATGTTCAGAGGAAAGCAGACTGTCATGTTTTCCAACGTAAGTATCGCAAATTAGTGGCTTTTCAATTTTATTGTTTGCGTTTTCAAAGAGTGCGGATTGAGTACCTGAGCATTATTACCTGGAGTACCCAACTTCCTAAAATGTAGGATTGATCATGTTCAGGCCCATACCAACTGAGTAAGGCTAATTTAAGTATTTAATTTCACTCTCTTGGTTTCCCACTGACTTCAGATGAAGTTTTTTTTCATGTCGCTTGGCTTGCTTCTTGCAAAGTTGCCTTTTGGTTTTTATTGGTAATTACATAATCCAGCTATTGATGTACATTCATGTTAGCATTGAATGAATTTGATACTTCCAACATCCCAAAGGGAAATTTAATTGGTAGTCAGTAAATCTGACCAATATTGTTAGAACAGAAAATATCATTGTCACTTTTTCAAAATGACTTACAAGTGCAGGTGTTTGCATTTGTTATTTCTAGTGTGCAGCATAGTGTTAATGAGGCTATTTGTGTACTAGCCCTCTTCAAGAAAAAAATGTCCTATTCTGTATTCGATATACAAAACCTCAAGCGGCATTGTATTCTGTAGGCCTGTGATTTTTACAAACTTGGCAGATGATGTTTACAATGGCACAATGTCAAGTGTCTTTAAATAATCAGCCATTTTCCCCCGGTCTTTGTCCCCCAAATCCCTACTCTCACCGACAACTTCTCTAAAAATGTGCAGATTTCGTGTCAAAAATGCAGTCCACAGGTTTTAGCCCTGCACCAGCTGGTTACGCACCAACCATTGAGTGGCAGAGATACCAGGCAGCATCCTTCTCAGAGCTGAGGCAGAAGCTAGGACATCACCGGTCGAAAGTTGCAAGCCAACCCAAGAGCAGTAGACCCACCTTGGTAGGCTTCCAAGTCCCCCCATTCTTTCAAGGAACATTCCTGAATCCTTGGAGAGACTGTGTTTTGTCCATCAAAATCCATGGCTCTTGAAACACCTTCTGTAGATTTGCTCTAACAAATGTTGTTGTTTCATTGTTTGAAAATGATTTAATTATTGGGGTATTGTCTTTCTATAATTCAGCCAAGACTACAAGAAGAAGAGGCCTGGTGCGTCCTCTGTTTTGGAAATGACTTCTGGCAGAGGTTGCTGTCACGGAAAGGAAAAGAAACGAGGGCAGATCAAGATATCGAGGAAGCCACCCCAGGTCAGGAAATGAGAACACATAAAGGTGTTCCTCCCCTACTGAGCATTGTCTCCGCTATGGAACAGGTATGCACAATATGGCTGCATCCGAATCTCTTGTCTAGAGACAATCTCTAGGTCTTCCCTCCATTGGAAATGCGGGGAGATGCGTAGACAATAGACCTAGCTGTAGCTCTGAAAGCCCGTTTCTGGACACGGCCTGTATATCTGTAGGAATATGTTGCAGTTTCTTTCTATTGACAGATCACAGTGTTACGAACAATTTATTTACTAGCTTACTGAAGAACTATTAAGAAAACAAGTGCTACCAGGCCGTAGGGTCTCTGTTTCTGTTATGAAACATCCCAAGTTCTTACAAATTTCTGCAAGTCCATCACAGGTCCACGGTAAGCCATCCAAGATAGTCATGTGAACTGTGGTAGCAGAACTCATGTTCGTTCTATTCCTTGAGACTATTGTGAATGATCTTGTGACCATACTTTTGAAATGACTTTTTTTGTAAAGTTTTTTTTTTTTAAAAATGTGTGTGAAAGGCTTTTCATCCTAACTGCAACATGATCATGTTGAAAGTACTTAAAGCCTTATTAAGCGGTCGCCAAAAAGCCCATATTTGACCACAGAGCACAGCCAGAGATTGAAAGGATTGTTTTTGCAGTTACTGTTGATTTTGTATGGTTGGATTGAAAGAAATCTAGCTTCTTGTGACAGACCTGACTTTGCCTTTCCCCGTTTCTTATTTATCATTCCATCAGCCCACAGTCTGTCAACTTTTGGAGTACCACATTGAGTGGCTGAACCACCTTGGCTTCAGTGTCTCTCAGGGATGTTGGCTCTTTGCTCTGCTGGCTTGCCTTGAGAAACCATTGCTCCCTGAGGCAGCATCAATGCTGCGAACCCTAGCCAGGCACTGCTCAGCAATACGTGCCTCTCTGGTAAGCAAAGCCAAGGAGATGGGAAGTTTCCCCTCTTTGGACAAAGACAAGCAGTGACATCTCAGTTTCTGATATTGCAGTGGTTGATATGCCCTGACACAATTCTTTACCTTTCCTTTAGTCTGAACGGCTGTAAATAAGTCAAAGATGTAACTTACACTGCCTACATGTGCATTTTTGTAAACGTTCAAACAAAATTGATGCATTAACAAGTGTGTATTTTCTAGTCTGCCGATGGAGCTGGTGTTCATAGACTGGGTCTGAAAAGGGTATTTGAGCCTAAATGTGCAGACATTCAGTTTTATACATCAGTGTTGAAAATGGAAGCTGCATCCAGATAGAGATAATTGGGCGCGATTACGCTGGCAGTTGAACAATCCCAGTACTTCAAATGGAATAAATTGCCTGTCCGAACATCCTGAGACTATGACACCTTGTGATTGATATTGCATTGCACCCTAAGATCATATTCAGAAGGGTTCTTGGCTCTCCGGCCAAATGCTTTGACTCCACTGCATGCATTTCAGGTGTCACTGGAAGGATTTTTCCACCATCCCAAGGCCTTTTACCATTTTCGTATTTTTCTGTTCTTGTTATTTTTTCCAGGAAACTAAGGAGGATCAGCGCTTGGCCCCTCTCAATCTTCTCATCTCCTTAGTAGCGAGGTATTTCGACCAATCAGACTTGGCCGACAGTGGATGAGAGCTTTTTTCCTCACTTGGCATTATTAGTAGTTGCATTTGACCACCAAAGTCCCCTATTCGGTTTATCTGCTTAGACTTGGTTCAAGCCACCAGTGTTGTCTAGCTGCGGATGATGATCAACTGACTAGCTCAAGCAGGATGTCTTGCCAGACTTACTTCAAACTATACCCCATTACAACGTTAAGCCACTCGTTGAAAAGATCTGTCTGATTTGATCTTTTATCTACTAAACCTGAAGTTTTTGTTTTGACATATTTGCTTGATTCGTCAAGTTTGAAAAAAAAAAGCTTTGAAAATGCTGTGTTTAAAATTCCTGAGAACATGTGCAGTAGTAAAGTTGTATGTTCAGTTCACACACAGTGGCACTTGAGGTCTGAGTTGATGCTTCACACAAGTTTAAAAGCAGAACTTTACGTCACATTTAGAGTTTGTGTAGACCAGAAGCTCTAAAAGCAGTGTATATTGAGGTTTTTAAAAGTTTAAGAAATGTGGGTGAAACAGCCCAAATTGTTGTCTTGTCCATGTAAATAAAGATGTCAACTACTTTCAGAGGCATATACTGAAAACTTTGTCTACTGTCTGAAATTGTCTAAAATGGATATGTCTGAAAGGTAATTGCTTTAGTCATTTTGCTGTATTGCAGAATGGGGCCAAAATTAGTCTAGTGTATTCATTAATTACCCTCTAATTTTGTAGGGAAAAAAAATCATTTTTCTAGCATAATTGTAATCATTAAAATGTGATATTTAGCGTTTTATTTTAACCCCACTTATTTGTAGGGTCAACCTTGGTATTAAGCAGAAATGTTCTGAATGAAGTTGAGTGAAAAAATCTGGTAAATTGCATGTTCTTTATTTTACGTGTGTCATAACGTGAAGTTAGACCCTTGGTTGTTTTTGGAAATATTTTTAATGTAAAGCCTTCCTGCTTTGCCCCATCTTTACACAAGACCAGGTAGACCCCTTTATTTACGATAAACAACTGAATCAATTTAAAAAAATCCCAGTAACCAATTCTTGTTTAATGTCTCGAGTATTCGGGGCTCGTTTGTAAACTTCTTAAACCCGAACAGCCAACAATTATTCCAAAACAATGTGACTAGAGGAAGTCTAGGTTTTGTGCATATTGCGGAATAGGGGTTTTCCCTACGTGAAGGAGAAATATCACTGTCACCGAACACGCAAGGATATTTCTCCCTTAAATCTCGCCCCATTGACGTCAGAGCCGTAAGAAAAGCCTTGATTGACTTCAGGCCGTCTTCAAGGATCCTTGTGCCACAAATTGTTTGTCTTTCTGTGCTGGTCAAGGTACTTATTTTTATTTAAGTAGGCCTCTAAAAATGAAGTCTACCTCGCAACCGGCAAGTTCAAGTTGATGGTCACTGGTTTGACGGTGCATTACGTTGATGCATTAACATTAATTATAAACTAGGGGGCTTGCATGATAGCCAACTGCAACATGTTGAACTTGGCCAAGAAAGATGATGTACTTTGACTTCAAGGGAATACCACAGAATTAATGATTCGTTAAGAACTCTAAATGGATTGTGAGTTAATGCCCTAAACTGATGAGTGAAGTTAATTATGTGTTTTCATTTGATAATATATTACATTGCATTTTTTTAAGTCTCTGTTAAAGACCTTTGTTTTCAGCATGGTTTCAGTAACATGAGGATGTTTCTGGTTTCAATTACATTTTTCTTTTAATTTGCCTATTTGTTATCTCTTTTCACACGAACTGAGAGTGTAACATTATTAAATGGTTGCTGATGAAGTGGGTTTTTCAAAAGCCTTGTTTGGGCTAGAGCAACTTGTGGTCTGCATAGGAGTTTAGGCAGCGAGCTTTTCAGAGTTGTTTCACAGCAATGGATGCAGGAGAAACCATGGCAACAGCCAGTGAACTGCAGCATCTGCACCTGCAGCCTGAGGGCAGATCGGTGATGTCACAGAGGATGATGCAAGACCCAAGAACATCACAAGGTAACATGAGATGTTACTTGAGAATGAATTTTACGATATTCACACGTGTATGCTTTTAATTAATTTAATTGTATATCTGATTAATCAATGTTAAGTAATCAAATCTGATCAACGAGCCAGATTACAACAAAACAACATGTTTTAGCTTTACCATTCACGACTTGGTCTCCTTTCATGGACTTTAAGTTGCATTGCCTACGGAAATCAATATTTCTTAACTGGATTCAATTTGAAGGTGTGGTTCCGTACTCACCGCATGGTGAACTTGTGCCACATCGTTCATCACCTACAGTGAATGCCCTGCAAGTATCAACTAGTAATACGCAGCAACTCGGTTTCATCAGTGGCAACAATAACATGGTACTTCATGCCGGTACAATCAACATCTTCCAAGGATCAGGAGCCACCGGTAAATCTGTCTATGTTCATGGGTGTCGCCGGGATTTATTTCAAGGGTTGGGCGATATTTTCCGGCAATTGTCAACAGCAAACTGATTAGCCAGTAATGGTGGAAGGAGCCAATTCTGCGATATTTTCCAGCAAACTGGGGACTTTCATCCCTTTCTTTTTTACCTAATTATCTCAGGTTTTTTTCATTTTTTTGTCATTCATTTTAGCCCCTTGGGCCTCCTTTGGCACTCGTAATTATTTTGTTTGTTTTCGTGAATCCAATTCTCAAATTTTCACCGTGGGTAATTCTATTCCCCATCCCTTTTTCATCCCAACACCTCTAAATATTCAAAGACAACCCTACCTTTCACCCTTTTAGGATCCTTGTAGTACTCTTTGGACTCCCAATTGGTAAAAAGTGAAAATAGTTGCCAGCATGTATTAATGTCTGTTATTAATGGACAGTAATAAAGATTTGCACATTATTTGACCACTATATTTTTGTCCGAGGTCCCACCAGTGTTTTGCAGTCTTCCGTTTTCCTTAGCGTAGATAATTTGATTTGAAAGTTCTCTAAAACTGAAAATAATTGCATTCACCCCTGTGAATGTTTCTCTTATCAGTCAAACCAGATCTGTGCATTTTAAAATCTTGCTTCCATTCAGCTGCTCCACCAGGGAGAAGTCAAGCAAATTTACCTCTCCAGAATGAAGATGGCAGACAGCAAAACCGTCATACATCTAACCGAGCAGAGATGGGGTGTGGAGTGCAAATAGAAGAGTTTCCTGATGAAGACAGTGCATCACTGCATGGTAGCGTATTTCAGATAAATCTCATGTATTGGAAATGCAAAATAAGCCCATTCAGATCAGCTATGCTTCTCCAGTTTTGACAAGTAAAATACTACCTCCAGTGGCCAACACATGCAGTGCTCAAGCTGAGTGATAAGGTTTGCTGAATTAATGAGGAACCCTCAAACTTATTTCTTACCGAAGAATTGTGTGATAATTTGAACTTATAACAGGCCAATTGTTGGTTGTATTTTGGTGAGAAATTTAATCAATAAAGTGTTGCAGTTAAAATAATTACTGGCTCATTGATAGTTTTGATAAACAAATGGGTATTCATTTTTCTCAAATAATAAAATAACTTAAAACCTTTTTTCTAAATGAATTTTTAAAAAACTGTAATTGTCTTCTCAAGTCCAGTTGGCAACTTTAGATCCAAGATAATGCTTAACAAAGAAATAAAATAATGACAATGTATTGCTTTTGATTAACAGCAGAGCAAGTTGAATGTACACCAAGTCCAGAAAGGCCGCAGTTATTCCTAGACCAACTAGAGCTTGCTGAGGATGCAGTGCAGGGGAAAAACACTGTCCTGGTAGCCCCCACGGGATCTGGTAAGACTCACGTGGCAGGGTACATCATCCATGATCACTTTATTGCTGAGAGACCAAAACCTGTTTGGAACCGACGTGCCCTGTTCCTCGTCACCACCGTGAGTTGTTCTGGTCGTAAGAACTTATAGCTTTGAGTGCAGCTTAAAGCACAGGAAAATTGGTGCAACGTGGTGTAAGACTTGAAGTCTGTGTCCAGATTGTGCAAGAATCATGTTTCTCATAAGTCAAAATTAATTTCACTCGATTCGCTTTGCTTTAGTAGAATTGTTTTCTGTGTGGTTCAGTGATATAGACAAAATGTTTGCACACTCAAAAAGGTTTGCAGAACTTTGTGAAAAGTTGAAGTCTGATAAAGAACTGGATTTTTTCCCTTCCTGAAAAAGTATGATATATTGCTGCTGTGCCTCCCCATTTTTCCGCTCGTGAATTGTTGAAAGTCTCAAGAAATTTGCCCCATGACTTGTACCTTACTCCTTATCTTTTCCTGGGTATAATGCATGTTGTAGCGGCACATTTTCTCATGTTATGGTTTTTATTTTTTTGGTTAGTTACACTAAACCTTGCAAAAATGTTTAATTGGAAAAAATAACCCAACCTGTGCTAGTAACTTTTATGTAAGAAAACATTTATTTAGGAGTTAATTTTTCTCTTGCAGGTCAATCTAGTTGAACAGCAGAGCAACAAGCTAAAATTTCTCCTAGAACGTGACAACTTTTTCAGCGTTGTTGGCATCCATGGCACTTCCGAGTTGTCACTTAAAGAAGAAGCGAAGAAGAGAAATGTCATTGTGGTGACAGCTCAGCTCCTGGAGAATGCCCTCAGCTATATCCCGCTAGACTACTTCTCACTGCTGGTGTTTGATGAGTGCCATCTTTGCCAGGTGAGACTGGAAAATGGTCTAGCCGGCAACAAGGAATTAATAGCATTTTGGTAGATGGGATTGAATGGGGGTGCAACGACAAATTTGACAGATGCTCCAAGGGGGAACTTGAAGACAAGAATCCACATCATAATAGACCTAAACATAATGATATCATCATCACACTTTGTTTGTAAATTTGCTTTTCCATGGTAGTGAGGTAAGCGTGGGCTACAATAAATTGAAGCCTCATAGGAAAGAGCCCATGTGAACAGAGTGTAGGTCAGTATTGTTGACATTATTTAGTGATGGCTTTGTAGAGGGCATATCCTAAGTTCACTGAATTCATAATTGTGAATGGCAAGTTTTCAGTGCAGTCACTTTCAGTTGAATGTGCACAAAAATAAATACTACATCTTTGCGACAAGAATGCACCTTACTATGTGAAGTTTGCGGTGACACCATGTAATCAAATTCTCTCTTTGAGTGTGTGTGGTTCTGAAAAGAACCGGGGTTCACTCGACGTTTTGAACAGTGTGCTCTGTTCGTCTTCAGGAGAAAGAATGCACCTGACCATATTGGAACAAGATGCAAATGGTAGTAAAGTTATTTAAGTATCTTATCAAGTAAGGCTTTATTTATTGATCAATCTTTTGGCTGCCTAGAGTGTACAAAATGTCCGGACAATAAATTGAATCTGGTTTCATCTTTTTGCTGTGCAGAAGGACCATGCATACAATACTATCATGGCTCGCTATATGGATGAGAAAGACAGAGGAAACTTCAACTTACCACAGGTAAGGAGAGAAAGGTTAACCAAAAAACAAGAAAACCAATAACCAGACTGTGGTCCCGACAGGAAAAAACATGGAATCTAGATATTTATTGATCATTTTAAGTCTTTCTGGTAATAAAACTATGAGATCCTCAGACGTGCATAGGTCTTACCGCTCAGATGTCTGATGCAGTCTTTCCCAAAAAAGTAGGGGGCGCATGATTCTCTAAGAATGACTTGCAGAATGAAGCAGGGGTTGGGAACCCGACCAATTCAGATGTGTGGGTGGGATATGGACCTGGACCACACAGGTGGACGGTGGAGAATAACACCACAGCATACAAAGAAAGATCCACCTACAGACTATATTGTCTCTTTCCTCAAAGATTGTCGGTATGACTGCCAGTCTCGGGACTGGCAAGGCTAAGGAGCAGATGGATGCTGACAACCATGCCATCCAGATTTGCGCCAATATGGATGCTCAGAGTATCTCCCTGGTTATCAGGAATAGGACAGCTCTGGAATCACGGGTCAATATTCCAAAAGAAGGTGAACAGTCATGTATGGTGTGTTTTGGAAGTGAACGGCATGTCCACGGCAAGGAACTCTTGTCGGAGAGTTTCCCCCAAATCACTTTAAGAAAGTCTGGTTTCCAAATTCCAAAAGAAGGTGAACAGTCATGTATGGTGTGTTTTGGAAGTGAACGGCATGTCCACGGCAAGGAACTCTTGTCGGAGAGAATCCCCCAAATCACTTTAAGAATGTCTGGTTTAGCCAAGGGCATACCATCAAGGTTCTTTTTTTTTGGCAGTGGCCCAAGCAAAAGCAAACTTGTGCAGTGTACAAATTGATGCTAATGTGATTTGCACCATCTGTTATTAGCAATGGTGGAACGCAATAGAAGAAATAAAGATTCGTGTACCACATGACGTGTGACCTTAATTGGTAAACAAACTATCTTTTGAGATTTATTTTCCATTCATTTTTTGATAGAAATGAATATATATTCTTCATAATTTCTTTAATATTTAAATTGTCCTTGCGTGTATCCATTATGATTTTATTTCTGTTCTTATTTGCAGTGAAACCTATTGAGGTCAGTTGCAGAAAGATCGACCCTTTCGCTGACAAAATCAAGGAAATCATGAAGAGAATTGAGACCATGCTGAATGATTCCCCTTGTGAGTGAAACTGTCTTTATGACCTCTGAATTTCTTGCTGTTTTTACGCTGGACTTCTACGTTCCAGCTAGTTGGGGGCTCTGTTTTCATACGAGAATAGGCAATAGCCTCCTAGCTGTTGAGTTTTTATGGGATGCAATGAGGGAACCACCTTGTTATCTGATTGGCTGAGTTCTCATCACATGGTAGTAATTAATGCAAAATATAGCATGTTTAACCACACATATTGATCTTGACCTACTGCATGGCTGATATTTGACTTTTGTGATATGAGATTTTGCTCAATATCATTATGCAAACATTCAAACTTATCTGGGACAGACTCGGCAGTCCGCATGTCTGTCAACAGTGAGCCCATTCCCAGCGAGCTGGGTAGCCAAGCTTTCCGCCAGTGGTGCGACAGGATGAAACGTTGCAGCCAGAAAATCATCACGCTCTATGAAGGAGTCCCTTACCGCATCCTGCAGGCCTGCATTAGCCAGTTAAAGGTAAGTAGCACTATACGTTATCTGAATTTTGATTCAAAACTGTGTCAGATTGCTGTAAGACTGTGACTTTGGTTCCTGTCGAGAGCAAAAATACAGGGTCAGTGGTTTGCGGAGACAAAAGCCACCTTCTCTACTTACGTGCACTTTTAAAAAATATTTCATCAGGTTACACCTTCGGCTGATTGCTTGTAATACTTTTCAGACAATTAAAAAAATTCTGTATCATATGCATAGTCTCAAGAAAAGTAACTTCGAAACATCTTACAGGAGTACAATGCAGCTCTGCTTATCAACAAGCAGGTGCGCACCAAGGATGCCTTCAATTACCTTGCTAACATGATGGACAAGATGAACGACAGGAGGAGGAAATTTGATGATAATGACAGGGAGCTCTGGCTACTGTATAACAGTAAGCTGACAAGCCTCTATCAACAATTTTTCAGTTAGAGATTTCCCCCCCCACCATACGATACCGTAATTGTGATGTCTACTTTGGACCTTGTTGGTGTGTTTTCAGAACAACCAATCCGTGTTCAAGTTGGTGATAATACCTAAACTTTGGAACTTCTGTTGCCTAAAATGTGCAGATCTAACTAAAGACTCTGCTGTTCTCTTCTCACTTAGAATCAGGGAAATGAATTCAAATTCCAGTATTTGTTCTTCTCTGGCGTCATATTTAAAAGCTGGATTTGGACATTATTTAGGAATCATAGATCAGAGTTTGTATTTTGGTTGTTAAGTTTGTGTCCAGGTCATTCCTGAGACATTTCCAGGATTGAAATGCAGTTTTTAAGTCAAAATTCCCCCCCCCCAAAAAAAATCATTTAACTAATTTCCACTGGTAGAAGAAAAGCAGATTGGAGTTGCAAAGCCTGATATTATTTCTGGAAATACTCGACAGTTTGTCCATCAAGTAAGAGACAAAACAGTTTCAGGACCCTTTGCAAACTGTAAATGATTTAAAAAGTTGGAAAGCATCCAGAGTTGCAGTTATTGATCATTTTGTGTTCCAAATATCATTTTAAGGATACAGGCCTCCAGTTTTGCACACATTTTTGGTATGTTAACAGGAGAAGAGAGAATTCTAGAACGGATTAAGGATGACCCAAACAATGAAAATCCTTTGCTGGAGAAGCTGTGTGAGATCATTCTGGCGGAGTACAGTATTCGTCCACATTCCAGGGCCATCCTGTTTGTGAAGACCATAGACACAACGCAGGCATTGCAAGACTGGATAACTGAGACACCGGAACTGAAATTTTTGAATCCCGGCAGGATAGCAGGGTCGAGAGGTCAGTTTAAGCTCACAAAAAAGAACCTGCAACAGCAGCATACTCAGGAAGCTGAAATCAGTGTGCCTCTCTCCATTGGGGGTAAATGGGTATCTGTGATACGGTTATGGCTGCCCGTTTGTGCCTGTTAACGGCAGCTACTGCTACTATACTCGCTGAGGTTTCAGGAATGTTCAGATGTTGTGAGTCCAGTGTGCAGGGATAGTAACAACAGTGCCTTGATCACCTTCAGGGTGGATATGTATCTCACTTTATAAAACATAGCCATTGTTATTATTATTAATTAGTACTAATTCTGGTGTCGATTGGCAGCCATTCCCCACCAACATTTTGACAGCTGTCAGATCAATTTTGCTCATTTCAGACATGAAATCCAACCAGCAGAACAAAGTCATTGAAAAGTTCCGCAATGGTGAACACAAGATGTTAGTGGCGACCAACTTGCTTGAGCAGGGCACCGATGTCCCGGAATGCAACCTTGTCATACGACTTGACTATGTGCCAAGTGATTTTGGCCACGTTCAGATCAAAGGTGAATTTGTCTTCATGAATGATTAAATGATAAAGGCGTCTTGAGTACATGTACTTTGGTCTTTTATGGTCTTGATTCAAATTGATTCATGGCAAGTCCTAATAAATTACTCTTATAGTCATCAATTTAGTGCTGATTCACAGGTCTGTGGTTTGTAATTACTTGTAATCTGAATTAATTTTGCTAAAGTAATACACAGCTGGGTGAAAGGTTTACATGCACTTTGAAAACAATATCACTGACATGTAAGACTTGATACGTACGCCTTTTTCTGTAAACTGATCGATCAGAACATCTACGTCATTTACGTTCAAAAGTAAACTGTACCTGTATGCTGCACTTAAGGGAGGAAAAAATCATGATGAAGTTTCTTTGTCATTGACTGCTGAATTTCTGTAAACATGTTTTACGAATTAAAATAATATTTGAACAAATTTAGTCTGAGATACTGAGACCAAGGTTTTGATGGTTTGCATAATGGAGCACGGCCAGAATTGATGAGGATGTTTCTCCTTGACCGGAGGCTTTGGTTTTGCTGGTTTTTATTCTTTCAGGTCGCACAAGAGCGAAAGGTGGGAGGAGTTACCTCATCACTCTGGTTGATTCTAATGGTGCCGCCCGCGATTCCGCTAACCGCCAGCGGGAGATCATGATGATGGAGGCAGCTCAACATCTCAAAGACATGACACAGAGCAGCTTTAAAAATCACATGGAGAGCTGGCAGAGGAGTAATCGCTCAGAGAGACAAATCAAAGAAGAAAAGAAGAGACTTGCCCTGGAAGCCAACTGTGATGAGGTATTTGTATTCTGCTGCAGCCGTTGTAGCAAACCTGCATTCCTGTCACGTGACGTTGGCAGGTACAAGAACTGCACGTACCTGGTCCTAGATGTGGACTTCTCGCAGCACATGGAAATAAGGCCTCATCCAAAACCGAAGCAGTTGGGGGCCAACCTAACCATCATCGGGAAAATGTTCTGTAAGAAATGCGGGCATGACTGGGGGTCTTTGACTCATATCAAACAACTATACTACCCATCGGCAAAAATTTCCCAGTTCACCCTCCGAAGCTACAACACAGGTCTAGCTCACACCTTCAAAAAGTGGAGAGATGCAACTTTCAAAGTAAAAGATTTGGTGGCTTTGCCTCCTGATGCTGCGGTAGAGGTTGCCCCCGATGTTTTGAGAAAGTTGGAAATCAACCTGCCTTAATTCAGGCACTTGAACTTGACCACAAGGACAAAAGATGTGGATAAAACCAAGGAGTTCTGGAGAATTAGATTTCATATTTTCAGTTCAGCAGTACTGAATTTCAACTGCTTAGACAACTGATATTCATTGCAGTGATCAATTCCTACACTGTGCAAATTCAACTACTTGCATTTTGCCCCAGAAGTCAAACTTCTACAAAACCAAAGGCATTTAATCCACTTGATACAATGTAAAAAAATGGATTTTGCCTTATGCATGTGCACTACTATAACATATGGCCTTTTTACTACTTACGACTCCAACATTGCTACATGTAGTACAATTTTATGCACAAATGTACAGTAAAATAAACTTCTTTAACAAGGTTTAATTTTTGCCCTTACACTGATTTTTATCGGACTAAATGTATATTCTCAGCGTGGTTCGAGAGTAGCAAAAGGAAATCTCAGAAAAAAAATGAAAAAAGGTGTGAAAGAAAATCATACACCGGTGTAAGGGCTGAACCTAGTATGAAATTCCCTGACACAAAAAAACCACCTTATTCAGTGAAGATTGTTGAGTCTCAAAGTAAATAAGGTTTGTTAAAGTCATAGGTTCTATCTGAAAGAAAGTGAGACCAGCCCATTCCTTTTGGACTCCTAATTATTAGAGCCAACTTGATGATTATGTAATGCACATTGTTCGTTCTCGACAGGAAAGACAGTCATTTGGTTTATTCACTGTGGGCTTTCTATACACAGCTTCTTGAAGATGCATATCTTATACATATTTCATACTTGACAAGGAAGATAATTAAATTAAGATTGTATTATCTTAGCTTGTCAGACTCACTGATGAATAAGGATATTTGAAGAGATTTTTATCCCATGTCAATAAATACTTGGGGAAAATGTGGGATTTGGGAAATATTAATTATTAATTATTTTAGCTTGGTGAGTTAATGAAGTTAGTAGTCTAGTTTCAAGTTGCAGACAGCTAGTTGATGGTAATGAAGATGAGCCATACGTACAATTCATGATGCTGCGGCAGCATTTTCAGATTAGGAGCAGTGGTGGAAAGTTTCGAGAAAGATAATTTCAGCATAATTTGACTTTTATTATTAGTTGTGTATCATTTTTACCAATAGATTCCTCTTTTTTTTTTTCAATGTGGACAGCATCCACATCTCAGTGAGGATTTAGCCAAGGTGAAACTCAAGTTAACCCAATCCATCTCTTGTAGCTTGATTGGAAAAATAATCCAAGCCTATCTAAGAAATTGTCATTTTCTCTAACGTGACAGGTTGGCGAGCTGATCACTGTTTGCTGGTCTAGTAACATCTGTATTCTCTTGTTGGAGTAACTTCTGCAGGTACTAGAATATGTTTGTTGTGGGCTTTATAAATAATTAAGACGTGGTGGCGTATCTAGGTCTCAGTGGATTGAAGGGGGGCAAAACGGATTTCATTTCTTTCAAAAATGATTTAATTTTTTCACCAACAAAAGATACCCTCCCCTAACTCAGATAAGATTGCCATTCTCTAACATGCTGGTGCCTTCAATGCCTTGAAAAAAAATATGAATTTGAAATAAAAATTTGCACCATGTCCCGGGGCAACTTACCCCCTCCCCTACGCCATTGGCAGGTTGTTCATGCACGTATGAACTGTGGGTTGTTTTCTGAGTAATTGTTTTCACCGTTTGTTGTGTATTCTTAGTGAGCAAAATTCTGTTAAAGTAGTTTGTATTATTAATCAATGTACAGCCACATAAATTGGCTGCTGGAAGTTGAGGTCGTAATAAACGTATCCATTGATGAGTCCTTATAGTCAAATTTACTTCTGAGATTGCACGGCCAATAATTATTTGTTCTTGAACAAATTTATTCCATTTCATTTTGTGCCTATGATGATATAGGCTCCCATCCTTGATTTAAAACTAATATTAATCTCGCCCTTTGTTCCCTCCACTTGCGCGCAAGTTTATTTGGAAATTTAATCCAAGCAAATAAATGAAATGCCTTTCAAAGAGAGGGCGCAAACGTAGCAATCGCGGCCGGTTTTCGCGAACATTTTGACAGGGTATCGACAGACCCGGAAATGTACTCGGTTCGGTTACCTACCTAATCATACATGTGTTAGGTTTAGCTTATGTCAACAAGGAAGGTACAGACCTGTTTTTTTTTTTTCCATGTACTAATCACACTATTTGACTATTCGTCTTGTCAAGGTTAGTATTAGGCAAATCTTCATCAGTTCCTGCTACGTCTATCCGCGTCTGTAATCTTTTGTTACAGCTTTTTATTTGTAGCAAACGATCGCGAGTGGGTGTACCGTCCTTGCCCCGCACCGTCGAAACGAAGGGGGCTATCGCAAGCTACAAAACAGGAAGTTGCTATAGTCGTTGACTTTGGAATTTCGACTGGGACTCCCCAGTGGGACTCGGAGTACAGTTGGCTACAAATAGGCACTGGCACAGGCCGATTGAAAGGAAACAGTAATTTACGTAATGAGTGGTAAAACTCCTCTTTGCAAAGGAATTTTCCTACGTATGTTTTAAGTGTTGAATTCTGCTTGTCCTCAGCTGATCAGCCCCAGCTCCAGAAGGAATTAATTTTTTTTTAAAGTCTCGAGGCGATAACTCTGAAGTTATGGAACCGAGCAGTCAAACGACAAGATTAAAAGAAGGTTTCTTGGTGAAAAAGGTGAGTTACATGATTTTTAAATGTATTATCGATTGGAGTTTTGAAGGGAAAAACTGCATCCTGGCTCCACTTTGTTGGTTGTGTACAAAATCTGTGCACTATCGAAGCATTGTCTAAGAACAATTGAAACAGTTTTCAGTCCCGTATTCACGTTTTTGTGATGAGTGACCTTCACTGAGATAATACATGTAACTGACTGAAAAAAGTGGAGACATGTAACACTTTTCCGTTTTGATGGGTTTTGTCACATTGCATATCATGCAGATTTTAATGTTTAGGTTAATCAATGTTAATCATTTTGGCATTGGCCCATTATAATTAGCCTAGAAGTGTATTTTTTGGCAATAATGAATAATGTCATGGTCTATTGCCTGTTTTTTTCTTTTAATTAGATAATGCTTCACCCATTACTGGAATTCTTAGAAGAAACATTTTTTAATGTAATCAACATCAATGACGGTATAGACGCCAGGCCCCTAATTTCGCTATCTACATGTATTGTCAAGTCTGATTGGTTTTCAGTACACGTAGGTGGCAAATAAGGAACCTGGGGACTATACTGTCATTGACGTTAGATGATATTATCAACTTCCTGTTGTATTTGTAACCTGTCACCCCCTCTTGAATTTGTAATTGCATTTTTGTACAAAACTGTTTCAAAAAATGAAATTTATCGTTTGTTTTAAGTCTCCCTTTTCTATGTACCTGCCAGAAAATCTGTGATCTGAAGATCTTTTTCTCTATTTAATTTTGACTTAAAGGGCCATGTGCGAACAAACTGGCGGACGAGATGGTTTGTGTTGTTTAACGATGCCCTGGCTTATTACAAGAAAAAGAATGACGAATATGCCGCGGGTGCTGTGCTCTTAGCAGGCTGCTCTGTGCTGTCACCATGCCCTCAGTACACAAAGAAAACAGTAAGTGAAGCTGCCGCAAGATTGTCTCAATCTGCTTTAGACGACCTTACATGTAGCTTGTTTGAAAGTTTAATGTGCGAATTGCATTTTCCGTATCTCCATGTCAGACGTAGGTTGAGCACGCCGTTTCATTTTTCATTTTGGAGGGTGTTGGGTCAACCAACCATGGCTGAAGTTAATTAATTCTTGCACATCGTATTATACTTTGCCATTAACTTGACTTTGCATCTCAGGAATAAATATGATATCCTGAATTTTTACATATTTTAAATAGAGCAAAAACGTGACAGTTACCGAAAAAGAGTCACAAAATGTATCTCAACACCGCATGTCTGCAGCAGTGTTTGTAGTTTTGGATTTTTCTTGTCCATATTTGAGGGTGTATTCCAGCTATCGACGCTCGATGGCTTGGAGTTGTTAATGCAGGCATCCAATGAGGCAGAACGTGATGAGTGGGCTAAGGCAATTGGAGATGCCATCAGGACGTGCAGTAGCGCCGAAGGGCAGAACGGACGCAGGTCCGAACTCACTGAGGCGCAGGTTAAACGCAGGTAGTAAAACTCGTACAGTTTCTTTTGTTTTGGTCCAGTGTGTGGCCTTTTGGAGCGGGTGAGGAGGGGTGGAGCTGTTCATTGTCAGTGAGTCAGTCGGGTATTTCAAAAAGCAAGTCAGTGTATGGCGGCAATAATAGGGCAGACTTTGTGTGCGTGCATATTTTTGTTCCCAAATGATCCCAAAGGCGCTTTATTTTGAGCGTGGGCTGTTGGAATGATGCACTGGCTCAGACATGCTAGAAATGAACTTTTTCATATGAAAAGCTCAACCAGACAACATGAAAAATGATTTTATAGACCACTACTGGAGAGCCTTTCTGAAATCCTTATTTTTTTTTAAGAAGTGGAGCCTTCCTCGTATAGGCAAGTAACCAAAGCATCAAGCTTATCCTTTAAGTAATGTTGCAGATTATGAAATTCATGTACTAAGTAAATTCCTTTTTTTCTCAAAAATTTCAGCATGCTGCTGCCATGTGTACACATTCAAAAAGCAGCATTTACTGTTATCAGTAGGGTTCCATTTGTAGCATCTTTTTCATGTTCAGTAGACTGGAACCATTGTGGCCTTCATCTTTCTCAGTGCCAGTTACATGTAGGTTAATGAATGCACAGCACACATTGTCCCTATATCCAGAATAATGTACCGGTACTGAAAGTGTGCAACATTGCCTTGATCAAACCGATGTTTCCCAAAATAGTTCTCTCTCTGAATACCACTTTCAAAGAATTGTAATATGTGGGTTTCTCTAGTTGGATTATCAATTAATTCCACCACAAGAAGGCAGCTGTTTGAGGGAATTTAATTCAAGTAACAAACTTAACAAGGGCAAATTACAGTATGCCTTCTTTTTTTCTCAAGTATCATTGAAGTGATGGATTATTTTGAAAATGCTTCTTCTAAAAACTGTTCTCTCAACAAACTAGCTTTCTCCAAAGTATTCAGGTTAACTACTTCCTTTCAAACACATGACTAAAATTACTAATGCAATCAAAGTTAATCCTTTTATTTCTGGAAACAGATAAAAAGACCTGTTGCTGTCAGAATATAATCCATTTTTTTGAAGCCTGCAATGGAATTTCCCCTTGAGTAAAACAGTTACTTTCACAGAATCAGTTGGTTCAACAATAGAGCAAATGTTTGAGTAGACCGCTCAAACATTTTCTCGATTTTTGTTTTGGTTTGGTTTCAACACAGCAAGGAAATCATCCAAGCCATGCAGGATCCAGGAGCAGGTATCAAACTGAAAACCAAGACGTTGGATGGGACGGAATACAAATTCTGTTTCTCAGGTACTCTTTAACCCCCCCCCCGCGGATCTCCCCCCCCCGCAGATCTTTACAAAGGAGCTGTCTTGTATCACAAAGTCCAACAAATATACTGACGTATTTTTCGTATTGCGTATTTTGTACAAGTTCTCACCTGTAAACAAACCGAATGTGAAACTGTCATCATATGGAACACACAATTTATGTCTTGTTGATAAAGCTTTGATGACGGTCACTGTTTCACTTCCACGGTCTTGCGTAGAATTGCTTGACAAAGACCTGGACGTCAGTGCACCTTAAGGTTAGAAAGGATATGAGGCAGGTGACTTTTGGAATCCCAACAGTATTGTGACAATTTCTAAATTCATCGACATCACACATTTATCGGCTATTGTTTAAGCTGAAGGTGAAATTGTTACAATAATTCCTGTACCACATTTCAAGAAAAATAATCCAACTTATCACAGGAAATTTCAGCATGTGGTAAGAGTTGAATCACTGTTGAATCACTTGTCTCTCCTCCCTGTGAGGGGCAGCAGGTTTTACACACAATTACAGGATATTAGGTCAGAAAGTTATCATCTGCCGCCTGTCTTTTTTTTCCTGTTCCAACTGGGATATGTGTATGCTGGTGAAACCTGCACCACTTCCTGTTGAAACCGGGCAAATTGAATTTGGATTATAACTGTTTAACAATAGCAGATGAACTTGAGTCAGCTGCCTGTTCATGCTATTTAAAAGTCAACACTGCTCCTGTCATGCCTGTTTGTTTAAGTTCTACCCAGTGGCTTTTTAGGTTTTCATGTTTATGTTAGTGGGACATTCACTGTTTATAATCCATTCACATTTGTATCAATAGCCTTGGAACCTGGTTTGTCATTTCATTTTATTTGAATTACATGTATGATAACTATGAATCCATTTTGTTATAATTTTCCTTAAAGATAACATTTGGGTTTTGGTTTGTTATTAAAACTTTCCTTTTGTTATCGTCTTGTTTTTTTGACATTTGAACGGTTTGTTTCATCTCGTGAAATGTGACCAGCTCCACAAAAATGGGTATTATGAGACTTTTTTCAAAATGAGTCACACACATTTGAATTGGTTACATCATAAACTTTAATTTGGTGCACATGTAAGTTTGAACCCGGCGGCATTTTGTAATCTGGAGATATATTGATTTTTGCATAATCATATCATACATACAGAATTTCTTTCAGAAATAATGCCCTTTAAACACAGGAAGTGGGAAAAGAAATCAGCCAAGAAGAAAGTCTCTTAATACCCATAGCAACAGTTAGGTTTCTTGTGTGAATTGTGAAATTACTGATGTAACCTAGAAGTAAAAAATCACCCTGTCCACATTCAAAAGCCCCTAGTGTGAAATAGCACAGTGACCCTTAATACCCCTTTTCACGGAGCGGGTCACAAATGGTCTTAATTACTTTACCTGGGATCTCCTTTTGATCTCAAATCCTGCTTTTTAACAAATCTTTATTAGAATCATGGTATAGTTAAAGTGCGTGTACGCAGCAGATACAGACAACTATATAGCATCCCTTTTAGTCCCCAATGTAAGTTATTTTTCTTTCCTCAGGTCAAGAACTTGTTGATTGGCTGCTGAAATGGTCCTTTGCCGAAACTAGAAAAGATGCTGTTGCCATAGCAACGGATCTGGTAATTGCAGCTCATCTGCATCCCTTGGTCAGATGTCGGACCCTCGCCAACTGTCGACAGGCTCTGCTGGATGAACCCAGGGCATTCTATAAATTCGTGAGCCCTTTTGAAATTTTCTGTAAATTAGCGATGTCTTATTTTACAATTATAGAGGGTACCATTTTACCCACTGAGAAGATAAAACTTGAAATTCATTTGTACTTACGAATCAGTGGTACCTGTACTCTACTTAACCATTTGCTCTTAATTTATTTATAATCTCTTATGGAAAGCTGAAAGGAGGTCTTGAACATTCCTTCAGTAATGGCAGCTTCCTTTATTTGGTAGATGCATGTAGACCAAATTCACTGTCAAATCAACTGCAAGTATGTGTTATGTTCTCAACTGCTGAGCATGGATTTTTTTGTGTCTTAGATTTTCCAGGCTAAATTTATTGTGTTATTGCCTCCATTTTGTATGACATTTTTAGAACTAAAGCAGGATTAATATGTTTTTACTACATTGTCATGAATATCCTACTTGTTGGTTTGAATTGCAGTCAGCTTTCCACATGTCTGCCATCAAGGCCCTCCTACCATCCAGCAGTGATTCTGATTCCAGCAATGACTCAGACACGGAAGCCAAGTCCAGACCAGTCTCTGTGTCTGCCATCAAATCTTTGAAGGGTCGCGGAGGCAAGCCGGTCAAGCAAGGATTCATGATGAAAAGGGTAGGAATCAACCAGGAATCTTGACCTCCTGTCAAGTCTGAAGAGAACACGACTCTACCTATCTTAGACTCGTTCATGGGTGAAGTTAAAGAAAATTTCTGGTATAGGATGCGATATCCTTAAAGTTTATCTGCTGGTGCATGGCACCCAAATATTGAATACCTAATATTGGAAAGCAATGGGGATTTGACCAGGTTCTTTTTAAGTGTCATTGCGGAAAAAACCTGAAGTACATTCAGGATTTATATTAAACATATGTGTATTTTAAATTAGTGTGTTAGAAACTGAGTTTCTTTGTTAATTCATGATTGCAATTAGATATTATATTGTGGGCAGCAACTAGTTTTCAGTGGAATGTGCACAATGCTCACCAATAACACCAGCAAGTGCATATGCACTCAACTTGTAATAGTAGCTTTTGGCCCTGTCACTACCAAGGACATGGCTCTGGAACCAGGGACACGATTGTTTTGAGGTCAAACGGATCGATGGGACTGTTGGCCCAGGGTCATTTGCCTGTTTTATACTGTGTGTGTGCATGCACAAGATAGGATGTCACCAAATTATGTTGAGACCAGTTGATGGGTGCATTGTGGCTATCACTCTCAAAATAATCACATGTTGGTTTTGTCGAATCATTTCCTGTGGGCATGTAAGAAAACACAATAGTCATGCTTCTGCAATGGGAAGTTGAAGATTAAAACTGGATGAATTTTGTTTATTTTGTCCGTTTTTTTGTTTTGCCTTTGAGAAAGATTCTGTAGAGATGGAAACATCTGGCTTTTCCGAGTTGTGTGTATCCTGTCTCTGTGGCCAGAAATCAGTCGGCTGTAGTTTTGGTATTTTACATTTCCAAAAAATGTGAATTGGAAGAGCATAATTGTGCTGAACATAGAAAAAAAATCTCAAGCAAGATAGGTTATCAGTCAAAAAGCCATTGATTGTACACTGCTGTTGACTGGTTTCCTGCTGCCCGTTCTGGCTTTAATCTGCTCAACAGATTTGCTCTGCAGATTTTATGTCCGAAATGCTTTGCTGTGCCTTGAATCTGTACACTCTATGCGGAATGGCTACAGCCACCAACATAGACTCGTGTGTAAGCCACAGCCAAGTAAGTTGGCCTATATTTGACCAAGCTCCTCCATGCAATTAGTTCTTTTGCAGAAATGTTGCCTGGATTCAGTTTTCTAACATGATTTTCTAAATCTGTTCTATTCCTTTATCTGCCATGATCTTGTTTTCATTCTCAGGGCCATGTAAGGCACACGTGGAAAGCGCGATTGTTTGTCTTATGGGACGAACCACCTTATCTGATGTATTACAGAGGGTCAAAGGTCAGTGAGCACAAAATGTAGGACTCATGCCCATAGCTTTAAAAACAAAGTAGAACGATACTTTCATTGTTTTTGTTTGAAGAGAAAGAATGACAACGTAGGAAGTGGTGGGTGTTGTGCCATGTAGCGCTTTGTCATGGATATGCCTTTCATGTGGCCAATCAAGGGAAAAATCTGGTTTGAAATAACATCTTGTTGAACCCAAAATACTTCAGTAAAACCTTCATTTCATAGGCATTTTCTCAGTTGCGGTGTTTAATGACAGACGGGGATAAGTTGTGTTTGAGGGGAAGAAACATGATGTTGGATTGGTAGGATGTTGGGTGTTTACTTCACAGTTTTTTCCTGTCAAAGTAGCTCATGGACAGTGCCCTTGGTCTCATATGCTCTTCCGTTGTCGTTGTACCTGGTACACTGACATCTCTCTGCCTTATGTGAGTTATGATGCCCAAATGACCCGATGTCAGGCTTTTATTTTACAAATTTGAAATATATTGGTATCATTCGTGTATGTGAACGTTTCTCAAAGCAACTGAAAATAAGCAAAAGTGCTGTAGCCCCACTGTGGTGATAGATTGAACCTTTGTTTCCCATCCAGCACAGACAGTCAAGAGTACTGTTCAGAGCTAGTTTCTGCGAATTCTGATTGAATACATTTTGTGTCTACGGTGACCAATGACCAGGCATCCGTCAGGACTTTAGAATGTGCTTATATGGACCAGGGCAGTTATCCGACCATGGCATCTTATGTTGGCTCAAGTTCATGATACTTTCTTGAGAAAAAAAAGATGATCACCTAGCTTTGCCCCGGGTTATCCACTCAGAGCAGAAGTACCCCCTCATTGGTCACAAATGGAGAGGTTGATGAGGCAACAATAGCCAATACCATGGCACTGTGCCTCTGACACTCCTGCAGACTTGTGAAATAAATCGAGCTTACACAGCATAAAATGTGCTTGAGTATAGCATGTGCATGCCTTGCATTGCCTAAGGGGGATTGTTGCTTGGTGAAAAGAAAGTTCACTCTTTTATGCATAAATTTTGTAACTTAGAGAGATGTGTAGCAAATTACAATGATTTCTTAAAGCGGCTTCAGATCATGTTGCCAACTTAGAGCAAGAGCATACCAATTTTTTTAAAAATTGTTTTCTTTTGTTTATGTTTATTATTTAGGCTGGCGATGAGAAACCTCTGGGTGAGATTCCACTACGATGGTGCAAGGTTGACATCGTGGATGCTAGTCGGGATCATTCCGGTAGAAACTCTACATCTCTTTGACCCTACCACCCATTCGTTATTAACGAATTGCTTAAAGCAAACAGATGTTTCCTAATCTATACACCCATGCAGACACTAATTTAAAGATGAAGCAAAAATCTGCATTTTTGGATGTTTTGAGGCTCTGCTGTCTTCAGTTTCCCTGAAACAAACATTTCCTAGGACCTGGATATGTTTTGAACTTTCAGTCCTGTTAAGACATATCTTTGGCACATTAGCTGTCTAATATGCTACTTTGCAACTGATCGAGAAGAAAAGGTAGAATTCCAAAATGTGCTTAATTGAACCTCAGGTTATTTTTTAGGGCATGGTGTGAAATAAAAAAAAATTGTGAAGAAAAAAGAATTTGTAAACAAGTATTTTTGTCTTTGAATTGTGAAAAAAAATTTATTCAATTTAAAGACAACTTCCGCTGTCTCTTCATGGCCAAAACTGCTTGAGAATCAGTTCCAGCTTGACTCATTCTCTTATTGCATATTACTTCATAAAAATTAAAAGGAAACTGCATTCAAACTTCAGCTGCTGGAAGTGATTTGTTAGAGTTGCTTTCATTCTTACTAGATTTGCACGTGATATCTGTCTGTATCTCCTTCCTGCATTGCCCTCACATGCAGAAACACGGTTTTGAGCCAAGGTCATGGGTGGCCGGAAAGCATTCAGGACTTTCATTGGGGCACCGATACATGGTCCTCTTAAAGGGGCATCCAGTTATCGAGGTTTGACTACTGGTAACGGCAGATCCCTCCCAATTTCAGCAATTGGCAGTCCTGTCCAGGGTTTTCCAGGGTCGTAAAGGTTCCAGGCCAGGAAGCTTTGATAGAACCACTTCTTTGTGCAACTGAATTTTTACTCTATTAATGTACACCATATGAAACTATTCCATATCCTTTTCAAGTTTTCAATTGTGAACCCCAAAATTGCTCATTGAGAATAGTGTGCTCGTTGGTTTCTTGCTGCGTACTTGAACAAAAATAGATCAAAATAGAAAAGGAAATTCAGAACAAAGGAAAAATTGCCAGTAGTAGTTAGTGCAAATCAGTGGAACATTGAGGTTTTCTCTTTGGGGTGACATCACAGTTTTGTTTATGCATATGGACATTTGCATTAGCATAAAATCAAAAAGGTACTAAAAATACAATATAAAAATTCAAGAAATTAAAAGCAAGATTAATTGAATCACAGAGGTGCATTTTCAAGGAGTGCACAGGCCCTTTAAAGATCACACAAGTAATAGTTTTTAATGGGATCATAGAGGCCGATTAACCTGTACTTTTGATTGTTCGAGCAGACCTTTCCCTGAAGAACAAACAGCGGCAGAACCTATTCAGTGTGACAACAGAGAAGGGTAAGATGTACGTGATGCAGGCAGGCAGCCCAGAGGAGAGGACGGAATGGATGCGAGCCATCATGAGCCCCAACGATATCACCCATCACGGATCAGAACGGGACGGGAGAAAGTAACTGCTTTAGACACCCAATTGGGAGTTTCTTTCAGCTGCAACTACCATAAAATCCCTGGATTTGATTTGTTCTAATAAGCGGCTCCCTGGGGATTATTATCCTTTTCTAGAAGTGTTATACTGATCACATTGTTGTGACAAATTGCACTGATTACCGCTGCATGTTTGCCATGGCCTGGCAACTCAAACTTCAAACGGTGTGCTGCATATTGTGAGTTGGAGTCCATCCAGTAGTGTTGGGATACACAGTGTGCCCCCTAGAAAAAGGGCCATTAGTCTCCCCACCCAGGGGATAACGTATACCGACACACAAGGGAATGGAAATTTTTTGAGTTTTTTTTTTTTAGCCAGGTGTTTACGTCAACTAAGCACAAGCTACACTGTGCATCTCCCAGCGGGCTGGGATGGTCTTTAAAGTGCTGTTTAAATTATGCTACCAACAGAAAAAAAATGGCTGCATTTGAGTGTTGCCAACAGTACTCACAGATGCAGGAAAATGTTGCAGCGCAATACTTTTAGGTCACATTGAATAAATGATCAATGTTTACCTTTCTGCCATCTTTGAGATATCTCCCTGTACATGATCCTAGACTGTTGGTTTTATTGACAATATAGTCTTACTTTGGTTCGGGTCACGACATCACCTGTAGCACTTTTAGCGTTACATGCATGAACAGAAGTTTCGTTACTAAACCATTACTAAAAGAGCAGCCCTATATTTCGTTTATTGAAACTGATCGAGTCATTGTTTCAGTTAAACTTGACTGTTTCAAACGTATGTAGACGGCATTTCCAATATCCCTGCCGAAGCAGGTAGAGTTATGCGCATACACACAGGCAACCAACTCTATGCACTCAAGAAACCATGAACAGAGTATTAATTAACAGGATTGGTTTAAAGTTCATCAAGTCTAAACGTAACAGTTTTACTGAAAGTACTCAACCACTGATTACTCTGTTGGACAATACAAGTTTCTCCAAACACTTCGGGCAACTTCATTATTCCTGCTGAATACTGCAATTTCGTTTTTGTACCTCAGCCAGGAAATTTCTCAAAATATTTGGAATGACACGATTGGTTGATTTACTTATAGTACTTTATAAGATGCAGTTCATAATTATTTTTGATATATTTATAAATTTGCTAGAAGATGCCAGTTGATGTTAAGTACTTAGATTTAATGGTTTGTCTATGAGGAAGTGTCAGGCCGTTCTCAATTCTTTGTCTGGATTCTTCCATTGTAAGTTACAAATTTTCACTGTGGGAACATGAATATTTTTCAAGACCTACTGTCCTCACATTTCACATTTAGTCACTTCACACTTTTTATACAAAATTTGAATGAATCCCTGTCATCTGATTGCTGAATTGTTGATCACATGACATGAATCTGTCCCACCAGACTGGGCACGCACCATGAAACAATTGCATCAGGCATTTAGGATGCAAACCAATTTTGGTTGGATGATTAATGCATGCTGTGTGCACAGTTCCATGCAGAAACTGCTGCCGTACGGGATGCTGACACTGCTAAAACAAAGACAAATGAAATGTTTCATCAAACCATCAAATGTGTGAAGGGAATTTCTGAATAAATAGGTAACTTCCATTAAAGCAATCGTTACTGAGTAATTGGAATCCTTCATAGCAATTTTACTGCCGAATGAGAAGGGAAACTGGTTAGTACTGAAGTTGCCAATCAGATGAAGATTCATTCAAGCATTGTCTGAAACCATATTTCATATTTGTGAAATGGAAAGAATAATTGACAATCGGTGACAGCTTCATTCAGTGAATGTCATGAATAACAATGTTCCATTCCATTCTGCTTTTCCTTGTTAAATCTGTCAACTTGTAAACTTATTCTATTTTACCACTGCACTTATAAACATTCTTTTTATACCATAAAAAAGGGGATGTGATGGTTGTAAAAGATTCAGCACTGGGAATTACATTCGTGAAATTTAAAGCCTGAGGACGGAGTTGAAAATCCATTGTTTCTAGGGCACATGCATGCTTACAATGTTGAGTAACCACTTATTCTTGTCAAAATTGTCATATGAACATTTTAAATTGATGTTTATGACCGTTTGGAGGTTCAGAGATTCTGAGATACTTGCACATGCACTATATAACTATTTTTGATACAATTTAAAACTCTAGCACAAGATTTATCCATATAAGCAACTGTGTCATTAAAATTTATCCCAATGGAGGATAATCAAGTGATATGTGCAGCATCAATGTTTGTGTGGCCCAAGTTGGAGAATGCAGTGCCAGGTTGAATCTTTTTCTTGTGGGGGGGGCTTTTTTCTTGAAAAAAAATATTTGGAGTGAACCTAAACAAGATGGTTGTCGCCAGGAATTCTATCACTACACTGGCTGAGTCATGTCCTTGAATGTTACGCTACCTCCTTGGAAATTTTTACACTGTCTGCAGTCTTTGAAAGACCAATGGTGCTCAATTAATTCATAAGCCTCTAGAATTTCAAATGAACTTTAAACGTTAGAGGCTGTGTCAAGTCAGTCCTAACAGTATTGTAAAAGTAAGCACACTTAATGGGGCTCATAAACACGGTGGGAATTTATGTTTAATATGAAAAACGTTTAGGAAACTTTCCCATACAATTAAACGTATCAACGTCCCACCCCTACCACAGTGTCATTGAAAAGTTTAAACACAACAAATTGTGTACAGGGTAATGAATTCATGCTATTCCTCTGATGTGACTGAGCAGTAAAGTGTTTCGAAAATCTGCTTACATGTTACAGGCATCATCATTTACAATAAAACTGATACCAAGATTGCGTCCATCAAAATGTCAAACCTCTTAAAGGGGCGGTACTGTTTGGAACATTTGGGAAACTCTGTAAACGGTTTGGGAACTTTTTTGTTTAAATGTGTAAATGTTCCACCCTTAGCGGCTTACAGCAATTAAAATTCACAAGGAAATGACCATCATGCCCTGATTTTCATTTTGTTGTATCATTTTCTGTCAGGAAGCATGATCAGACCCTTGTGCATAATCATTTTGCCGACACTTTTATACAGTATTTGGGAAATTCAAGTAAACTTTGCCAAATGATTACATAAGTAATATAATTACAGTAAGTACTGAATCCAATCTATTACAAATAGCTTTCAGTTCAGTTGCATCTTGACATTAAAATTACAACAAACCATTTTACATATTTGAAAAAAGCTCCATAATATTTCCTCTACAAACAGGCACTGAAATGAAATAGTTTCACAAGTAATTTAATGGTATTCAAACCTCACAAGATACAGTGACACAGGCTTAAACACTTGATGGTCATAGACTTCACAATTTTCTTTGGATTAATTACAATGACTTCACTGATTGACACAACTAATGATACCATTTTTGGGTAAACATGTACATGTTACATAAACCTCAGTATAGTTGCAATGAAGGAATGTTGTACAACTGAATATTAGCAAGAACGTAATATAATTTATATTTTAATGAGCAGTAGCTGAATTTAGTTAGAGTATGAGCAACCTGTCATATCTCCCCCGAATCCTTAACTACCAAATTCTCAAAGACCAAGAAACTTGACTGGAAGTGTGCCAAAATGCTGGGCCAAATCTATCAATTATAAGTTCACAGCTTTCGTAATTTCTTGAGGACACTAGTGGGCACCTTGACCTTTGCCTCCGGTGGAAGCTTTGCCACCTTTTCAACTTCAAAGGGTGCCTCTTTCCACTTCTTGTAGGTGTGTGGCTCCCCAGTACTGACGTTCTTCAAGCTGAAGCGGCAGATTCTCACCGAAGGGTAGTAGGAATCTTGGATGCGGGTCAGCGCTCCCCAGTCATGCCCGCACCTCTTACAGAACATCTTGCCAACGACTGTCACATCTTTGCCCACCTTCTTGGGCTTGGGGTGCTCCTTGATCTCCATGCGGCCCGCGAAGTCAGGGTCCAAGATCAGGAACTGCGACTCCACGTAGATGCCGACGTGGTACGAATGGAAAGCCACCATGCTGCAGTTGATGCAGCAGAATGCGAAGGTCTCCCCCTGGTTGTCTTGCCGAATATCCCTCTTCTGCTCCTGCCGAGCCTGTCTCTCCAGCCTGTCTTTGTCCTGCTGGCGTTCCATTGCACAGACAAACTGGCCCGGCGTCTTTGCCATCAGATTCTGTGCTGCTTCCTTCATCATGATCTCTCGCTGGCGGTTAGCGGAATCGCGGATGACACCTTTTGATTCAACTAACGTGATGAGGTAGCTCCGTCCGTCCTTAGCTCTTGTGCGGCCTGAAAATCAAGCAAAACATTAAAAGAAAATAGGCACAATTCCAAATCAATTCATATTAGTTTTGAAGAGTGTCTGTCAGAAATGGACTTTGTCTGCAACACAGCTTTTATCAAATTGCATTGTTTGGGAGTTTCTGTTCTTTGTCTTCCAATCAATCAATGAACCTTCAAGTCACCATTGTACATGTCACACCTCATCAAAACACCATGCTGAAACATTTTCCATTCAATATGCCCTCCTAATTCCTGCTTTTTTTTAACATCAAGGGTCTCCGTAAGTTCTTATACACACTGCTCCCTAACACTGGTACAATCTTCCCTCTAACTTACACCTGCTTTATTCAGTCAACTGGTTTGGCAGTATAATGTTTTTGTTCATTTCATGATTTCAAACAGAGGGAGGAAGCACAAAGGGGGAGATACCAACAGGGGGGCAGGCTTATGACTCAGGATTACCTTTGATCTGAACATGGCCAAAGTCGCTCGGCACATAGTCAAGTCGTATGACAAGGTTGCATGCCGGCACATCGGTACCCTGCTCAAGCAAGTTGGTCGCCACCAACATCTTGTGCTCCCCGCTGCGAAACTGTTCAATCACTTTGTTCTGCTGGATTGAGTTCATGTCTGAAATAGAGAGAAAGGAAGTAAATCCAGACAATTCAGTATGAAAGGAGTCCAGGTACCATCCAGAACAACACTGACCTTCCATAATAGGAGCACCAAACACTGGGGTGCGGGTCATCATTTTGAAAATTTGAACATGAAATACAGAATAAATTTAAGGGGAAATGAATCCTGGAGAAAATCTCAAGATTTACTCACACCACTGCCATGACAACGAGTATAACATTTTAGTTCCATGCTCAGAAACTCTTTGCACTGTGTCAAAAACTTATCATCAAGACATTTTATTAAGATTACAAATTTAAAGTGATTTAACAAAGTAGCACACCATGAAACACAAGTCAAAACCTGGTCCAAGCATCTAAATTCCAGTCCACCAGCTTTTGAAAAGGAATAACTGCACTGACCTCTTGACCCAGCGATTCGTCCGGGAGTCAAAAACTCCAGCTCTGGCGTCTGGGTAAGCCAGTCGTGAAGGGCCTCGGTCGTGTCGATGGTTTTGACAAACAATATGGCCCTGGACTCAGGACGGATTCTGTACTCTTCTTGGATGATCTCAGAGAGTTTCTCCAGCAGAGGGTTCTGGTTGGTTGGGTCCTCGCTTACCTCCATCAACGCTCTCTCTTCATCTGGAACACATCAA